ACAAACACAAACCCGAACAATTATCTCCACCAGTGAGTCCACCATACACTGTTACATTTGTAAAGACAATTGCCTGATACCCAAGGGCAGAAGAGAGGGAACTGGTTTGCTGAACACTATGTGTGCCCGTTACTGTGAGAGGCAGCTTGAATATAGTCTCTCCTCTGAAACTTAGAATTCAGTGGAAAATGACAGTAAGCTATGTACTGTGTGCCACATATAGCACACACTGTAAACAGCAGTTTGGGCTCTCAACCAATATTACTAGTTTTCTTATGAGAAAGGGAGAAGAAACATGGGAGAGGCCCAAGTGGAGAAGGAGGCAGCCAAGGAACGAGGAAGAGGCGAGGCCTGGACGGGAGCTGGGCTCTGCCCATACCGTGGTTCCAGCGTTGCAGCCTCCAGAGCCAGGGGGAGAAATCTGGGCTATTCAGCCACCCTGGTGGGTTGTGGTAATTTGTTACAGAACCCACAGGAAAGTAACACAGCATCTAAAGGTGAGGAAACCCAGGGACCAGAGAGGCAGTGAAGCTGGAGTGCCCGAGCGCTTCAGGTATCAGAAATGGGCGTTTTCATTTTCATTCTCTCTCTTTCTCTCTCCCTCAAACACACACACACACACACACACACACGGACATTCCTCACTGAAGAATTGCTCTCAACAGTTATTTGTAGTTCGTGGGATTGCCTTGGAAAGGAAGAAATGTTCTCCTAAAAGAAGCTTGGCCTGCTGTGAATAATGAACACGCGTGCATACAACAAGCGGGAAGCAGGTGGGACAGTGGGGTGGGGCCCACAGGGCGCGCCAGGAATCCATGATACTGTGGCCGCCACCTCTGCCTGGACAAAGGGAAGCCCTCCCAGGTGACAGGTGGCCTCACAGACATCTTGTGGAAAGGACATTCAAAGAGAGGATTGACCTGACCACACAGGGCCGGCGGAGCCTCTGTGCAGTCGGGAAATTCCCTACACGTGAGCTCTGGGACACTGCTGGCTGGAATGTTGAAAATCCTCTCACATGAGCCAAGGGAAAAAGACCCATTCTTTCTTTCCCTTTTCTTTTCTTTTCTTTTTTTTTTTGAGATAGAGTCTCACTGTGTAGGCCAGACTGGAGTGAAGTGGCACGATCTCGGCTCAATGCAAGCTCCATCTCCTGGGTTCAAGTGATTCTCCTCTCTCAGCTGCCCGAGTGGCTGGGACTACAGGTGCCCACCACCATGCCCGGATAATTTTTTGTATTTTAGTAGAGACGGCGTTTCACTATGTTGGCCAAGATGGTCTCGATCTCCTGACCTCGTGATCCGCTCTCCTCGGCTCCCAAAGTGCTGGGATTACAGGCGTGAGCCACCGCGCCCAGCCTGGGAAAGACCCATCCTGAATAGGACCGGTGAAGGGAGTGGAAAATCACAGAAAAAAAGCCAGGATGAGGGGAGAAGTGGACCTGAGCAGGTGAGATGGAGACATGCCCCTTAGCAAAATGGGGAACATTTCCTCTAATGCTTTCATGAGACAGGCCCACAGGTAAGGCCATGAGTGGGTCATGTATAATGTAAATGTATTATTTCTGAAGCCTTTCTTAAATATCTTAAACATATGATTCTCATTCCAAAGCTTAGTTTCCCTCTTTCGAGTGTAGAGCAATAACCAGCCACTAGTGCCCAGGGTGCCACAGGTGAGAACCGCAGCGTCCGTCACCAGCGTGGCCTCATCGCCCGCTGGCCGAGGGCACCGCTCACGTCAGAAGGGAGGCAGCTCTGGAGAGGGTCACAGACAGACTTTCTGAGGGTTTAGGATCAAAGCTATTCAAGAACATTTCCAACTTTTAAAATTGGAAAACAACAAAACTGTGTCCCCTAGAGCACTATGGTAACGCGTGCCTCATCAATGTCAGTTACATTTCCCTGACTCGGGGTTGTGACCAATAACCCCAGCCCCGGCACACAGGACGCTTCCCTGCAGGTGGTAGGAAACCCGCGGCTCAAACACGAAAGCGGCTGTGGCTGCGGGAGAGGGAAGCCCAGAGCTGGTGCAGAGCTCAGCCCCTCTATCTGGGCATCAGGGACCTCGGGTGGCTTCTCACGATTAGTGCCACCACCCCCAGGGCCAACGCTTCCTCATTCACGTGGAAGGGAAAGAGAACGCATTTATTCCGACAGGACATCCAAATCCTCAACCTCTGCCCGGGTTGCTGACTCTGAGCCAGTCACCGTGGTGGGGTGAAGGCGCATGCCCCTCTGGCGGGGTGAAGGTGCATGCCCGCTGCCTTGGCCTGTACCACCAGGAACCAATTCCCAGGGCAACGAGGATGCGATTCCATCAGGGAATGTGTGAGAATCAGGATCCACCCCGGGAGATGACGCCACTTGCACCCCAAATTTATGTCCCTAACACACAGGGAGAAGGCTGGACAGCCAGGATGTCGGCTACACTGAGCCACTCCCAAGGTTGAACAACATAAGCTTGGAACGTTTATTTTGTTCTTTTGGCAAGAACTCTTACCATGTTTATATGACTGCAAGGAGCATACTCTATTTTTGTCTACGTGATAAATACCAAATTAGTATTTAAGTAAAAAACGAAGTGTTGAACAATTTGGTGACCTTATACACCAAATTGGCATAATGTCATTTATATTAATTTGTCATAGTAAGAGAACTGCAAAATAAACTACAGTGAGCTACCTTTTCCCACCTATCAGATTGTCAAAAATTCCTAATTGTGGTGTTACGGTAGCCGGAATGTGACCTTCTCTTACATTGCTGGTGGGAGAGAAAATGGCTACAAATTTTTGAAGAGAAATTTCGTCAGTAATTCTACACCTGGACTTTATCCTACAAATGTTCCTGCACATGTGTGAGAGGGAAAGACTGAAAACAACCCAAGTGTCCTTCCACAGGGGACTCTGGTTAAACGAAGTGCGGAATCCCCGCAGTGAACACCAGCCTTCCATAGTGGACAGAGGCAGCCCTTCTGTACGCATCAGAAATACCCCAAGATAGAGGAAGCTCTCTCGGTACCCGTGAGAGATATCCCCAGACAGAGGGAGCCCTCTGCATGGCGATCAGAGCTGTGCCCAGACAGAACGGAAGTCAGAAAGGTGTCACACAGTGTGTGGAATGTGCACTCTCCTGGCACAGAAGAGGAGATCTTCTCATTGTATATTTTATATCTTATAGTATTTTCATTAACAAATCATGGGCATATACCAGCTCTTCAAAAATTAAGACTTATACAAAGTGAAATACTAAAAACAACAATATGTGTTTTTCTCAAATAATACGTTCTCAGGAAAGACTTCACAGAAACACCTCTTCTTATCAGAAATTACATCCAAACCCTTTTTTGTGTGAAGTGTTGCTTCCAGTCTACTAAGGTAATTAGCAGGTAACAAGATAATACCGTTTGCTACTTTTGAAGGCACTCTGATTTTCAGTTCCAATTTTGTTTGAACCTGTCCGCATTTTGGATCTGGCCCCGTTATACCCTACCGTCATTTTACTCTTTTGGGTTTTTTGTTTGTTGTTTTTGTTTTGTCTTTCTCAGGACAAATTCCTTTGTATCCCCAGTCTTTGAACTTTGTGAAAAATGTCCTTTCTCATCTCATAGAATCTGGTGCAGCCGCTCATTTCAGCTTGAACTTCTGAAATGATTATTTTGTGTGATTATTTTATTTTGTTGTTCATGTTAGCTAGAGTATAAGCTTCATGAAGCCAGGACATATCTGTTTGCTCACCATTGTATCCTCAAAGCTCAGCATGATGCTCTCACATAACTGTGCTCAATAAATATTTTCCAAGGCCAGGTGCAGTGACTCACGCCTGTAATCCCAGCACTTTGAGAGGCTGAGGTGGGTGGATCACAAGGTCAGGAGTTCAAGACCAGCCTGGCCAACATAGTGAAACCACGTCTCTACTAAAAATATAAAAATTAGCCGGGCATGGTGGCATGTGCCTGTAGTCTCAGCTACTTGGGAGACTGAGGCAGGACAATCGCTTGAACCCAGGAGGTTATAGGTTACAGTGAGTCGAGGTTACACCACTGCACTCCAGCCTGGCAACAGAGTGAGACTTCGTCTCAAAAAAAAAAAAAAAAAAATCACACTTGATGAATTGTATAATTGTTGGCACAGGTTGAAAGCTATGTGGTGACAAATAAAATTCTAGGTTACTGGACTAGATCACAGCAATAATGAGATAAATATTTGCACCAAACAGAAAAGCCCAGTACTTAGAATACAGGGAGCTGCTTGCTGAAGACTTTATTATAACCATCCATTTGTGCCCAAATTGTTTTTTCTCCGTAGTATGGATGTAGTCAATGGTGACTTTTGTCAAATAAATACGCGGTCTAGCTCTTTGGGGGTCACAGTCACAGTAGCAGCTTGTCTTACGGAGGCTTCAGCTTGCCTCCCTATCGCCATCAGCCTCTCCCTCCCAAGATATTTTAAATAAATACACGATCCATCACAAATCATTTTTCAGGAAAGTGTATCTTTAAGATTGGTCCTAAGGTACCACTTCCGGGTACATTGCTGCTTGTAATCCTCTTCCATACAGAAAATCTGGTATCTTCACATTCACTCTTAGCTTGTGTCTACTCAAACTGATTTTTTTAAACATATGTTTTAAAATGGAAATGACACGAATTCCTGACCATTCTGAAAATCTGCCATTCAATGCAATCAAATTCTTTCTTTACAAAGAAATGTGTTCACACAGGCAGAGTGTAGATTCCTGCAAAATGGTGAAGACTGTCTTTGTTCTCCTTTCTTCCAGTTTTCATTTTTCATTGAACAAATCTATTTATGGTGGCTTCTTTTATCAGTTCTTCTACCTGATCCCTGCTGCCACTACTTGGTTATTTTCTGGTATATCTGCCTGTATAGTAATTGTCAGAAATATTGCCTTATGGTCATTCTTGGACTCCTTAGAAGCGTGATCAGAAACAAACCACAATGATCATAGAACGGGAGTTTTGGACATAACAGCTTGTGACAGTTTGTTTTCTTCTGGCATTTTCCTACCAGCACCAAGCCCCTTCAGCGTGTTACTGTGGAGGAAGCATGCTGGCACAATGAACTCAACACCCTCTCCCAGCAAATCCTCTGTCCTTCAGGGTCTCCAGTGGCCCCTGGGAACCCGTTCACGCTGCTTGAGTGTTCTCCAGAATCCAGTCCACGTACTCGACCACGTTGGTGTAAACGCCTGGCCGTTCCCTTTGAGCACAGCCTTCGCCCCAGCTCGTGATGCCCACCAGATGCCAGACCTCGTTGTGTTTGCAGGACAGAGGGCCTCCCGAATCTCCCTAGAATGAGGGGAGACAAGAAAAGGTCAACTCAGACTCAAGACAAGAACAGATCAACACAGACGCTTCCCATCTTCAGCACATCTTGCTCGGGTTGATTTTTGTATAAATGCTGTCTTGGACTCTTAATATACTGCAGAGAACCTGGGTGCTTGCGTTCATCCAGTCAGTCTCCTCATATTTGCCAAGTCAAGCAAATACGCTGTGTTCCAAGTCAAGCAAATACACTGTGTTCCCTGCTCATTGGCAGAAGACTGCTTTTCAAAATGCATTCAGCGGCCGGGCACGGTGGCTCACACCTGTAATCCCAGCACTTTGGGAGGCCAAGGCGGGTGGATCACGAGGTCAAGAGATCGAGACCATCCTGGCCAACATGGTGAAACCCCGTCTCTACTAAAAATACAAAATAAATTAGCCAGGCGTGGTGGTGCACGCCTATAATCCCAGCTACTTAGGAGGCTGAGGCTGGAGAATCGCTTGAACCTGGAGGTGGAGGTTGCAGTGAGCAGAGATCACACCACTGCACTCTAGCCTGGGTGACAGAGCAAGACTCCGTTTCAAAAAAAAAAATGCATTAGGCATTCCGATTTGTGTATATTCCATTGGCTAAGAACACTGCGTTACCTTGCAAGCATCCTTTCCTCCTTCCCTGTAGCCGGCGCAGATCATCTTATGGGTTATTTTATGTCCTCTGTATCTCTTCTGGCACTCTTCATTGGTCACTAAGGGTATCTTGGCTTTCTGGAGAGTATTCTGTATTTTGTCTGGAAAACATTTTTTGGTTTATTTATGGAATAACCATATATAATACACATAAATGTATATGCATACACACACACACACACACACACACACACACTTTTTTTTTAATTGAGATGGAGTCTCTTTCTGTTGCCCAGGCTGGAGTGCAGTGGCATGATCTCGGCTCACTGCAACCTCCGCCTCCCAGGTTCAAGCAATTCTCCTGCCTCAGCCTCCTGAGTACATGGGATGTACAGGCACCTGCCATTATGCCCGGCTGATGTCTGTATTTTTAGTTGAGATGGAGTTTCACCGTGTTGGGCAAGCCGGTCTTGAACTCCTGACCTCAAGTGATCCACCTATCTTGGCCTCTCAAAGCGCTGGGATTACAGGTGTGAGCCACCGCGCCCGGCCGCATATATTTAAAATAAAAATCACGGCCGGGCACGGTGGCTCACGCCTGTAATCCCGAGGCAGGCGGATCACAAGGTCAGGAGATCGAGACCATCCTGGCTAACACGGTGAAACCCTGTCTCTACTAAAAGTACAAAAAATTAGCTTGGGGTGGTGGTGGGCACCTGTAATCCCAGCTACTTGGGAGACTGAGGCAGGAGAATTGCTTGAACTGGAAGGCAGAGCTTGCAGTGAGCTGAGATCGTGCTCCAGCCTGGGCTCCAGTCTGGGCGACAGAGCGAGACTCTATCTCAAAAACAACAACAACAACAACAACAACCATGCCTATATAAAAATCTACAAGGAAAACATGTTAGATTTATTTCACGGACCTTTTATAATTACAAGTATGAAGAAGACATTATTCCCACTATTGCATGTACCATTTTGTTAATGTTAATTAAGTTCCAAAATTAATTATGACTCTAACTGGAATGACTTCCCAGAGAAAGTAATTGGATAGCAGGCTAGAACATTTACTGAAAAGTGCTAGGCTTCACATTAAACTTCATTAAATATAATTAGTCTTTAAAGAGATGTAGTCACATTTAAAATTTCCAATCAAACAGACGAGGCACCAGCCTCACTTGGGTGAGTTTTGCCTCTCCACCTGTATTAATCCGCTTCCTGCAGCTGAGTAGTGTGACTCGATTGTGCTTCAGCTACATGACTTGACAGGGCAAAAAGGTTTCCATTCTTCATTTCTAGGCTGGAGCACATATAACAACATCATTTTTACCTCTTAATTTTCTGTACCCCCATCCAGTCACCCAGCAGTCAGTGTATATCACATTTCTATCTCCTTTTGAGGGCAGGCATATGGGTCGTTGAGAATCTAAATGTAAAAAATCATGGTTTAAATATGAGATGCAAAATAGATCCTCTTTTCCAGAAGAGACTCTTCTTCCACTGTACATTATCTGTGTTTTCTTTGTTTACTATATTCATTTTTTGCCTTGTCGTCGTATATTTTCCTCCCTCAGGTTCAGCATAATATCGCACAAGCGCCAGGATGAGGGGGCGAGAGAGAGACAAGCCCCACCCTGGCCACTAACTCCTCATCCAACTCAGTTTGTGATCCTGCACAAGTTGCTTAATTGTCCTAACCTTCAATCCTTCATCCCTAAATTACCTTTACTAAATTATCTTTAGATTAAATTATCTTTGCTATTCCAATGTATTATGAAATTGTGTCATTCTATGCACCTGAAGAAGCCTCAGGAAAACGTATCTCTTCACCCACATTCCCCAAATAAGTTTCAATCGCCAGGAACGCGTGTCAGCCTTAACAGAATGAATGGCTCGTGTTCCAGGCCCTCTCGCTTTCATGATGATAACGTACGGAGAGCCTGGCAGGGTCAGGTCGTAAATCTAGCAGCGGTAAACATTTTATCCAGTTCACCATTGGAGATAACTTTCCAGATAAAATTCTCCATACCTGTGTAATTCACTGTGGTTTCCAGTTTCAACAAGGCAATATCATACCCACTTTCTGCCATTTTATATTGATCATGGATTATTATTTCTTGAACCCCAAAGAAAGATGTATCCTCTTTTATTTCAGATTGATTTAAAATGCCAATGTAGACACGCAAAATCTTAGGTGACTCTACCCTAAGGAGCAAACAGCAGAGGAAAAGAAATTTCCTTTACTGAAAATAATTCCCAGACATTGTGAAGTGTGTGACTATTTAACTATTACTAATATTTTCTGCCAATGATGGACATTTAGGTGGAAAAAAGTGATTTTTTTCCTAAGATTTTTCAGGATAAAAAACATATTCACCCTATAAAGAAAATCCATTATACACAAAAAATGAATGAGCACTCCCTCCGTGCTCCAACACACACACACACAAACATACACAGGCACACACAGGCACACACACACACACAAGCTCACACAGGCACACACACACGCGCACACGCGCACACACACGCACACAAGCACACAAGCACACACACACACGAAGATCACTGGACTTAGTCTCACCCTCGCCAGTGACTAGCTGTGACACTGAGAAACTCAGGCGGCCTTTCTGCTACTCCATTCCCATATGTGACAGGTAACGGGGACTCTTGATTTCACATGTGTTCTTGAGTTTAATATGAGTGTGCTGCAGACTGATTAAAAAAGAAAACTAAAACTGAAAAGCACACAAAACTGTGTCTGGAAACGACTCGGAGGACACTAAAGTAGCAAACAGAAAGTTTGGCTGACTTAACTTCCCTGGAATATATATACCCCCAGCTGGAGCCTTTATGTTTGGCCAGTGCAGAAAGTGACCTAAGTAAGGAACCCAGTTTGAGGATGCCTACTGAACTCTTTCTGTATTTTATTTATTTACTTAGAGATAGGGTCTCGCTCTGTTGCTCATGCTGGAGCACAGTGGCACTGTAGTAACTCACTGAACCCTTGAACTCTTGGGCTCAAGCAATCCTCCTACCTCAGCCTTCTGAGCAGCTGGTGCTACAGGTGCACAAACCACCAGGCCTGACTAGTTTTTAAATAATTTTTAGAGACAGGGTCTCACTATGTTACCCAGGCTGACCTCAGACTCCTGGCGTCAAGTGATCCTCCCACCTCAGTCACCCAAAGTGCTGGGATTACAGGCATGAACTACCACACCTGGCCTCTTTCTGTATTTAAACACACACACGCACACATGCACACACGCACACACACTTATTAGAAATTTGATTCAGAGAGTGGTAAATCCTCTGTGAGTTTAGTTCTGGGCGCAGTGCACAGAGCGAGGCACACAGGGAGGTATGTTCTTGCAGGGAATAACATGAAGGCCCCTGGGAATGTGGATGTGGTTAAATGGGAAGCAGAATTGCAGGCAGTCAAGTGGCCGTGTACCTGCACCTGTTCTGATGCTGGGAGACCATGAGGGACTCTTCCTTTCTGCCTTTTTTACCACTGAAGGAATTAATTAATTTTACAAATAAGACAATTTAATTGATTAAAGTATTTCCTAATATGCTAGTAATATTTTTTATAAATGTGTGAACAAGATGAACTAATAAAAGCAGCCATGGTACTGACCCATAGAAACAGTGAGCGGCCGTTAATATCCACTGGTTTCCAATGATGGAGCCTCCACACAGGTGTCTCTGAGTGGGTGAGGTGGTGTGCAGAGTCACCTGCCATGGCCACTCACCACGAACAGATGCAGTTCCTCCAACGATCCTGGGCTTGATTTTAGTGGTACACTCTGCAACAGAAGCATTGCAATGAGCAGCTTCCTACATCTTCCTTTCCATCAGTAATTATGCTCTTTCAGGAACAAGAAGAAGAAAACCTTCCCTCAAGTCAACAGTTTATCATGACCCTGAGTTACAGAGACTTTATAATCAAGTTGCCAAAGCAAAACATGCACATGAAAAATGGAATTAACTAATTCATCTTGTAATTACACACCCCAAAGGATGCGGCCCTCCTGTGTGGTACTACAAGGCTGTCTTATCCTTCTTCAAATGATAACGCAAATGGTTCTTTTAAACCAGTGGTTGTCAAGTGCAGTCTCCAGACCAACAGTGTCACCTGGGAACTTGTCAGAAATGCACATTCTTCAGCCCCACCTCAGATCCAGTCAATGAGAAACTCCAGCCTGGAAGCTCAGCCCTCTGTGTTTAAACCAGCCCTGCTGGCGTTTGAGAACTACTCTTAGAAAGAAAAGGCGAGCACCTTGCCCTCAGGCTGCAGCCATTGTCCAGTTCCTGCCCTGTTCCCGTGACTCTGCTGACCATGACTCCCAGTCACTCCTGCTCCATCCACGTCCAAAGTAAGACTGATCTGTGAACTTCCTCTGACCTTTGGCCTTGTTTACAGTTTGGGATTCTCTGGGGTCCTTGGTAATATTCAGGGACTTTGACTTAGGTTCATCCTGTGTTTCTTTACTCTTGTGGCTGCCTAGAAAGAACAGTTCCCTCTCTTTCTACTTACTGGATGCCCAACACAAGAACCCATCCTCCAGGCTGGAACCTTGACCCAGCCTGCCATGGAACCCAGATGGCATGGGAGTGAGGTGTTCATACTCTAGACACACACACACGGAACACAGATGGCATGGGAGTGGGGTGTTCATACATTTGGAATTGTTCCATCTCTAGACACACACACACACACACACACAGAACACAGATGGCATGGGAATTGGGGTGTTCATGCTCTAGACACACACACACACACGAACACAGATGGCATGGGAGTGGGGTGTTCATCTAGGCTTTTACACACACACACACACACACAGATGGCATGGGAGTGGGTGGTTCATGCTCCTAGACACACACACACACACACACGGAACACAGATGGCATGGGAGTGGGGTGTTCATAGCAGTATTCTAGACACACACACGCACACACGCATATACACACACACACACACACATGCACACACGAACACAGACACACACACACACACGGAACACAGATGGCATGGGAGTGGGGTGTTCATAGCAGTATTCTAGACACACACACGCACACACGCATATACACACACATGCACACACACATGCACACACGGAACACAGATGGCATGGGAGTGGGGTGTTCGTAGACAGCAGTATTCTAGACACACACATGCACACACATATACACACATGCACATACACATACACACATGCACACACATGCACACATGGAACACAGATGGCATGGGAGTGGGGGTTCGTAGACAGCAGTATTCTAGACACAGACACGCACGCACACATGCACATACACACACATGCGCACACACACACGCACACAAGGAACACAGATGGCATGGGAGTAGGGGTTCGTAGACAGCAGTATTCTAGACACACACACGCACACACCTATGCGACTCATACTTTTATGTGCCTGTGGGTCGCCTGCATAGCTTTTAAATTGCAGATCCTGACTCCGTAACGTCTGTGTGGTCCTGAAATTCTAATAACCTCCTGGGTGATGCCAATGTGCCGTGCCCAGATCACACTTAGAATAACCAGGCTCAGGTGCTCAGAGAGGCTCCGCGTCCCAAGCTAAGGGAGGAGTCTAAGTTAACAGAACAATCACTGATGAAAAGCCGGATCCTAGAAGATCCACTCACTAGTTTTGTGGGTATAAAACAACCTTACTAGGCCTTTTTTTCCATGGTAGGAAAATGAGTGTATAATTCTGGGGCGGATTTCAAATAGAAGGAGAGGAAGAGAGAAGGAGTTTGGAAGGAAACAGCAGCTAACAGCAACTGAGGTGAGAACGAGCAGGATGTGTCTTTGGAAGTCTGAACAGAGGCTCTCATTTTAGAGCTGGTAGGGTGAAAATTTGTTTTGGAGGGTCCTCTATTCTGGAATTTCTCGGAAGCCTTTATAGTTCGCAAGGTGGGAAGTGTCATAAAGGTAAATTTTAGGAAAATTAATAGGTAAGCAGTAACTGGTGGATGTTAGAAATAACTCAATCAACACCTATTAGGTACAGGTGAGAGGCCTTGATATTCATCCTATTTTGATTCTCAGTTTAAATGAAAGGCTGAAAATATGTGTTTAGAATCATATTTTGTGTTAAGAAATGTTTGTTTTAATGGTGCTGCTATCTATCTTCAGAAAGTTAAGTTACATGGTAGACCAATGGCAGACAAGACACCATCAACATCTCACGTAGCTATTCCCTTTCACATTAGGGAGTTATTCCATCAAATACAGTGCAGCAAAAACCTAGTTATCTAATTCACTCCCTCCAAAGGTGCACTGAAAAGACATAAGACTTTATTTTCCTTTATCTTACATTTTCTCCTGCAGCTATCAATCTTTATCTGGTATATTCTGTAACTTCTACCGGCCAGAGTCTGTAAATCCAACGAGAAAACCATAATGAAGAAGGAAGGGGGAAACGCAATCTGCAATGTATTAAGGTATACGTGCTCGTTCCCATTTTTTAAACCATGTCAACATTACTTAACAACAACATCCGCTAAGCCTCCCTTCTAATGCTCAGAAGTAGAAGAAACACAACAGAATGGTGCTGAATGCTCCTCCTCGTCTTAGGGAAATTTATGGTGAGGAAAACAGAATGTATGGGATACGACTTAATCGACTTGCTTTTTAAGGAGGCTTGAGCCATCCAAAGATTCTCGTCGGAGCGCCTCTGAGCTCTAGGAGGGCGCAGTTTACTAGTTAGGATATCAGTGTTGGAGGCAATATGACATCTTTTTTTTTTTTTTTTTTTTTTTTTTTTTTTTTTTTTTTTTTGTTGGAGGCAATATGACATCTTTTTTTTTTTTTTTTTTTTTGAGACGGAGTCTCGCTCTGTGGCCCAGGCTGGAGTGCAGTGGCCGGATCTCAGCTCACTGCAAGCTCCGCCTCCCGGGTTCCCGCCACTCTCCTGCCTCAGCCTCCCGAGTAGCTGGGACTACAGGCGCCCGCCATCTCGCCCGGCTAGTTTTTTGTATTTTTTTAGTAGAGACGGGGTTTCACCGGGTTAGCCAGGATGGTCTCGATCTCCTGACCTCATGATCCACCCGTCTCGGCCTCCCAAAGTGCTGGGATTACAGGCTTGAGCCACCGCGCCCGGCCAATATGACATCTTTATGTTCTACAAAACAAGTTCTCAGAAATGAAGGATTGACTCGCCTTCTCAGTACAGCAGATAATCTGACAGGAAAGGTTTTTGTGCTTCTAAAACTATGACAAAGCATGATTATCACTTGCATTTTATTCATTAAATCTCAGTTGCATCTTACAGTGTATTGGAATATTGGACATTTAGCAATAAACAGTTAAGAACATGCAGCTTCTGTAAATCAGTATATAGTAAAGCCGTCCTAAGCTATGACGGTAATTTAGGCAGGAGTGCTTGTGGTGCGTTCTTTCCTGTTGGGGATTTTGTCCCTTGGAACAATTCTGTTTGCCTACAAACCATCTCTTGCGACTATACTCAGAAATTGGCCACTGGGATGGAAACACTGCTGGTCGGAATTTTCTTGCAACTTTTATGTTACCATAGGTCTTGTTTAATCTAAATGCTCTTATTTCCACCCTACCACACTCATTGTTATCAGTAAAGTTTTACCTTAACCTGTGCCAATTCCTAAGTCTCCGGAACCCTGCATGGAATCTGAATAAAGACCTCTAAAAAGGAGGTGTGCCAGTATTTCTTGAATAGATACACATTTTTTAAAAGAAAATGAGTAATTTGACTAACCAAAGTATTGATCGATATTTCCCTTACAAAGGATAATAGGAAAGATTACTGGCCTTGATCAGAGAAGTGTTGGCAGAGTCTGGATCTCATTATGAAATGCCAGTTGTGGCTGGGTACAGCAGCTCAAACCTGTAATCCCAGAACTTTGGGAGGCCAAAGCGGGAGGATCGCTTGAGCCCAGGAGTTCAAGAGCAGCCTGGGCAACACGGCAAGACTCCATCTCTACAAAAAATTAGCTGGGTGTTGTGGTCCACGCCTGTAGCCCCAGCTACTCAGGGAGCTAAGGTGGGAGGATTGTCGGAGTCCAGGAGTTCAAGGCAGAGGCTGCAGTAAACACTGACCACATCACTGCACTCCAGCCTGGACAACATTGTGAGACTCTGCCTCAAAAAAAAACCAAAAAACAAAAAACAAAAAAAAAAGAAAACAAAGAAAGAAAGAAAACAGAAATGCCAGGTGTATAAATGTGTCAAATTAAAACATATATTTAGTTAATACTAGGCAATGTACAGTTTGGTCAAGCCCCAGTATTTACCTTTAAAACACAGTCAGCTTGGGTGATAGGAGTGAAAATAACGGGAAATGGCAAAATGTGTTTATTTCATGAACGTTCTCCCCTCTGCGGCTGGACCTGACAGTCTTGGTTGTGATGGATTCCATATGGAATAATTCCTTCAGCTGTGTTTTTTCAAGTGACATTATACTCACCATTATCCATTTTACACAGCCTTAATGTGTATCCAGAGATGCCTCCTCTCCCGTGAAGTATTTTAGTTGGAGATCCATTTGAAGAAAGCTTTAAGTAACATTTGCCCCTGCAGTTGGAAACAAAATGGTATAAACGTAATGCACCTCACAGGCAGACGAGACAAGGGTGTCTGCATAGCGCTTCGCATAGCTTACTTCCCTTCGTGGCAAGATGCGTGAGCTGGGACATAGGTAAAAAACTGGCAGCGGACGGCATTGGTGCACAGTTTCTGGCAGGCCTCGTGACCTCTCACAGCAACAATATCCAGTTCTTCTCCCAGGAAATCAGTGTCATGGTAAAATGAAGAATGGCAGAACACTAGACAGCAGACCACATGTCAGAGCGAAACCCTCCCTCAGCGTGCATCAGCCTCCTCGGGGCTGGTCACTCTCAGCCAGAGTGCAGAGCTCAAAAATGAAGAATGGCAGAACATTAGGACAGCAGATTCGACATGTCAGAGCGAGACCCTCCCCAGCTGCATCAGCCTCCCTGGGCTGGGTCACTCTCAGCCAGAGTGCAGAGCCCAGCTTACCTGGGATGCTGTGCCCAGCTTTGGGAGACTGAAACCAGAAAGAGCTTTGTCTCTTTTAATGCGTGTACTGGGTAATCCACTTCAGATGTTTTAAGGAGACAAAGATTTCTAACAAAAATAAAAGGGAAGTAGAAATAGATCAGACACGTAAAACATGTTTACAGCACCTAGAGAAAGTAAAGTCGTCTGCATGGTACTTAATTGTGAAGATTTTCCTATTTAAAAGTGATTACTGTAAACCATGGAGTCACATTCATAAACCTTGGAGTCACACTCATAAACCATGGAGTCACACCCATAAACCTTGGAGTCACACTCATAAACCATGGAGTCACACCCATAAACCACAGAGTCACACTCATAAACCATGGAGTCACACCCATAAACCTTGGAGTCACACCCATAAACCACAGAGTCACACCCATAAACCACGGAGTCACACTCATAAACCACGGAGTCACACTCATAAACCATGGAGTCACACCCATAAACCACAGAGTCACACCCATAAACCATGGAGCTACACCATAAACCTGGAGTCACAATCTCCATAAACCACAGAGTCACACTCATAAACCACGGAGTCACACTCATAAACCGAGTCACACCCATAAACCATAGAGTCACACTCATAAACCGAGTCACACCCATAAACCTTGGAGTCACACTCATAAACCACAGAGTCACACTCATAAACCATGGAGTCACACACCCATAAACCACAGAGTCACACTCAAACCATGGAGTCACACTCATAAACTACAAGAGTCACACCCATAAACCACAGAATCACACTCATAAACCGCAGAGTCACACCTACAAACCACAGAGTCACACCCATAAACCACGGAGTCACACCCATGAAACCATGCAGAGTCACACCTTTCATAAACCATAGGGTCACACCTGTATAAACCACAGAGTCACACTCATAAACCATGGAGTCACACTCATAAACCGAGTCACACCCATAAACCATGGAGTCACACTCATAAACCGAGTCACCCATAAACCTTGAGCTCACACTCTACAAACTACAGTGTCACACTCATAAACCACGGAGTCACACTCCATAAACCACAGAGTCATTACACTCAAACCATGGAGTCACACTATAAACCAAGGGTGAGTCACACCCATAAACCACAGAATCACACTCATAAACCACAGAGTCACACCCCATAAACCACAGAGTCACACCATAAACCACAGAGTCACACCCATAAACTACTGAGTCACACTCATAAACCACAGAGTCAAACACCTACAAACCACGGAGTCACACTCATAAACCACAGAGTCACACCCATAAACCACGGAGTCACACTCATAAACCACAGAGTCACACTCATAAACCATAGGGTCACACCTACAAAACTACAGAGTCACACTCATAAATCACGGAGTCACACTCATAAACCGAGTCACACCATAAAACTACGTGAGTCACACCCATAAACCACAGAGTCACACCAAACCATGAGTCACAATCTATAAACCACAGAGTCACACCCATAAACCATGGAGTCAGTTAAATTTACAAACCACTGGAGTCACACCTAAACACAGAGTCACATCCATAAACCACAGAGTCACACTCATAAACCATGGAGTCACACCCATAAACCACAGAGTCACACCCATAAACCACAGAGTCACACTCATAAACCACAGGGTCACACCCAAACTGTGGCATCACACCCATGAACCACAGAGTCACACCCATGAACCATGAGTCACACCATGAACCACAGAGTCACACCATGAACCACTTGAGTCACACTCATGAACCACAGAGTCACACCCATGAACCACGGAGTCACACTCATGAACCACAGAATCACACCCATGAACCACGGAGTCACACCCATGAACCACAGAATCACACCCATGAACCACAGAATCACACCCATGAACCACAGAGTCACACCCATAAACCATGGAGTCACACTCCATGACCCTTAGGTTGCAGACACATTTTCTAACTAAATCACCTGGCTCCGTAACAATTTTCTGAGCTTGCTCTGTTGTCAGTCTTCCCAGTATCTTCCCTTTCCATTTCCTTCCTTTCAAAACTCCCAGCCTGTCTTAAAGATTCAAGAGTCTTCATGCTACCTAGAAACCTCCTATCCAGGATTGCAACAGGTTTATTTATTTATTTATTTATTTATTTATTTATTTATTTATTTATTTTTGAGACGGAGTCTCACTCTGTCGCCCAGGCTGGAGTGAGTGGCGCGATCTCAGCTCACTGCAAGCTCCGCCTCCCGGGTTCACGCCATTCTCCTGCCTCAGCCTCCCGAGTAGCTGGGACTACAGGAGCCCGCCACCTCGCCCAGCTAGTTTTTTGTATTTTTTAGTAGAGATGGGGTTTCACCGTGTTAGCCAGGATGGTCTTGATCTCCTGACCTCGTGATCTGCCCGTCTCGGCCTCCCAAAGTGCTGGGATTACAGGTTTAAGCCACCACGCCCAGCCTGCAACAGGTTTATAAGGAGATGAGTGAAGTACATCGTTGACTCTACACCCTGGAAGCATCTTCCTGGAAAAGAGTGACTTTTCCTAAGTAGACAAAACCACAGTCTAGAGCAAGGCTGTCCCTAGAACTTTCTGCAGTGATGGAAATATTCTATGTCTGTGCCATCCAATGCAGTAACTGCCAACCACATGTGGCTGTTGGGCACTTGGAATGTGGCCAATACAGCTGGGAAGGTGAATTTTTAGTTTTCTTTCTTTCTTTCTTTCTTTATTTGAGACAGAGTCTTTCTCTTGTAATCCAGGCTGGAGTGCAGTGTCTCGATCTCGGCTCACTGCAACCTCCACTTCCCATGTTCAAGTGATTCTCCTGCCTCAGCCTCCTGAGTAGCTGGGATTACAGGCACATGCCACCATACCCGGCTAATTTTTGTATTTTTGGTAGAGACGGGGTTTCGCCATGTTGGCCAGGATGGTCTCGAACTCCTGACCTCAAGTGATCCACCTGCCTCTGCCTCCCAAAGTACTGGGATTACAGGCGTGAGGCACTGCACCCAGCCAATTTTATTTAATTTTAATAAATTTAAATTTAAATTGCCAAGCTTTGGCTTATAGAAGCCACATTCCTATCACATTCTGTATTAAAGATCAAATGTGTTATTCCTAGTCTAGGAATTGGTCGGTAAGGGAATAAGACAAAGAAAAAGAGCAGTGACTAACACAAAATTACAAGTGACAATGGCATCTTTCTTATTTCTGAACTTTATAATGCCCCAAGGCTCCATCTTTGGACCTACTTTCTTCCCTGTCTGTATTTAATTCTTTGATAATTTCACTAGATTTTAAAAAAATATCAGTTGTATATTGGCGACACCTAAACACAGATCTACACATAAACCTCTCTCCTGAATGTGACTTCTATTTCCAGCTGTCGGTTCAACCCTTTCCTCTAGATGTGTCATGGGCATTGCTTCTCCTACACTCTGCCACTTGTGAAACCTTCCTCATCTCTGTCATCAGCATTTCCATCTTTCCAGTTTCTTGGGCCAAAAGTCTCGGTGCTATCACTGACTCTTTCACAATCCATGGTCCAATCCATCAGTAAATCTTATTGGCTCTCCACTGTAACACATATCAAGCTGGTCACTTCTCTCTCATCTCCACTCTGGCCCAATCGGCAAGGTTTTCATCTGTTTAGTTCACTAAACAGTATCCCCGGTCTTCAGAACAGTGCCTGATATATAATAGGCACCAAACAAATTCTACTAAATTCGTTCAGTAAGTGATGGTAACAGATATATTTTCATGTGACAGACCTGGCACTTCTGAAATTACAGCCTCACTCAGTGGAAAGCGAGGTTCGTGTGATGGGCAAGGCACACGGGGCTCCCCTTGGCTGAATTGTCTGGAGGACACATTTTCATCAACAGGAGGCCAAGCAAGCAAGTGCTGAGGGCTCTGAGAGTTCCAAGTCAAAGATATATACAAGCTAGGTTTTAAAACTGACTTAATTTTATGGATGTTTGTTTGTTTGTTTAAGTGAATGTTGCCAATGAAGAATAGCAAGCTGGGCATGGTGGCTCAGGCTTGTAATCCCTGCACTGTGGGAGGCCAAGGCCAATGGATTGCTTGAGGCCAGCAGTTCTAGACCAGCCTGACCAACGTGGCGAAACCCTGTCCCTACAAAAATACAAACATTAGCTGGGCATGGTGGTGCACACCTATGGTCCCAGCAACTTGGGAGGATGAGACGGGTGGATTGTTTGAACCTAGGAAGTGGAGGCTGCAGTGGGCTGAGATCACACCCAGTGCACCCAAATCTGAGTGACAGAGCAAGACCCTGTCTCAAATAAATAAATAAATAAAAGAGGGACAGCAACCTTAGCTAATGTCCTTTTGATAATCAAAGAAATTTTTCATGCTGTTTCTGATGTCCTGTGTTAATTTCCATTGGTAAGGAAACAGGAATTCAATTCTCAAATCTCCCTCCACCACCATCCTAACCCACTTGATGGAGACATTCACTTCCACCTCTCTCTCTCCACTTTGGGTTTGACATTTCACTGACATTTTCAGCTCTTTCTGCTCCTGGTTCAATTATTTTAAACAAATCATTGGACTGAATTGTCTTTTAGTGGTCATGAAATGGAAATGGAATCTCTTCATTTCATTTAGAATTAGACAACTCTCCCTTTGCCAAGGTGGAGACCTCCAGCACTACTGGGTACATGTCCAAAGGAAAAGAAAGAAAAAAAATCATTATTTCACAAAGATACCTATACTCACATGTTTACTGCAGCACTATTCATAATAACAAAGATATGGATCAACCTAAGAGTCTATCAACAAATGAATGGATAAGAAAATGTGGTGTATAGAATATACTATAGAATGTTACTTAGCCATAAAAAATCATAAAATCATGTCTTTTGCAGCAACATGGATAGAACTGGAGGCTATTATCTCAAGTGAAACAACTCAGAAACAGAAAGTCAAATATTCCATGTTCTCACCTATAAGTAGGAGCTAAGTAAAATGTACACAGGCACAGAGAGAGTGGAATGAAAGCTATTGGAGACTCAGACAGTTGGAAGTTGGAAGGATAGAGGAGGGCAGGGCAGTAAAAACCCAGACTTCACACTACACGGTATATCCATGTAACAAAACTGTACCTGTACCTAAAATTTTATTTAGGTAAAATAATATTTATTTTAAAATTTATTGACCAGGCATGGTGGCTCAACCCTGTAATCTCAGCATTTTGGGAGGCCGAGACAGGCAGATTGCCTGAGGTCAGGAGTTCGAGACCAGCCTCGCCAACATGGTAAAACCCTGTCTCTACTAAAAATACAAAAAAAAAAAAAAAAAAATTAGCTGGGCTTGGTGGTGCATGCCTATAATCCCAGCTACTCAGGAGGCAGAGGCAGGAGAATCACTTGAACCCGGGAGGCAAAGGTTGCAGTGAGCCGAGATCACACCACTGTACTCCAGCCTGGGCAGCACAGCGAGGCTCCGTCTCAAAAAATAAAAGAGTCCTCAGTAATGTCGGGTTTGTGCTAAGTAGGCAAGGAATAGAACAGGAGAGGGGCTAGAAATTCTTTGCAATTTTTATCCTATACTAACATTTAGAGTAAATTTTTAGTTACTTGGAGTTTTTAATGATGGATTTTGATCAGCTATTTTTAAAAGATAACAAATTATCCTTACTTGTTAACTCCTTACCTTTGAGATTCTTTGGGCCATTCCTGGGAAAAGAAGGTAAAAAACAAGCAACCGGGATGATGAGTGCAGATTCGGCGACAGACAAAGGCATCTGGAGCCATGACACTATCGATGTTGCTGTCTGCAAACACTGTATTGGGGAAAACGTCCCTAATACAAGCTGCGCAACAGAAGAACTGTGTTAGGAACTCAGTTCACCAGCTATCAGGAAAATTCCAGTCACAGCATTTGTAAATTCCATATTAAAAAATTTAAGTGTATCCCAAGATCTTTAAATTTTTTTTTATTTAGAAGAAAATGACATGATTATTTTAAACTTCAAATTTAAATAGAGGATCTAACTGTACAAGACATGATGAAATGTATCACATGAAGAAGGTAAAGGTCTTTGGATCCGTTCCATTGTGAGCATAAGCTGGTATCCTGAGTGAGATCTATTGTCCTGATCATGAGTATATTTAATGGTGGGACTACGTCATCAAGAAGTCAATAGTTACCCAGATTAGAAAGTGCACAAGATTTCAGTGAAAATCCAGACACCACTTTATCAAGCTTCGTTATTCTGGTTGGTGTCCCCATTCGGGTGTGCTTCAGTAGACAAATGTTACTGAATAAAAAGAAAAAGGAAAAGTGTCTTATTCTTCCAAGTGCAAGAAGGAGAAAACATGAGACGATAAGAAAGTCCCCTTTGGAGAGAGGACCTGCGAGACCCTGAAGCATCCATCTGGGAGGCTGAGTGGCTGGGCGTAGTCCCAGCAGTGCCGCTAAGCACCTGTGAACTGTGTAACTTTATTTCTTCTTCAGTACAGGGACAGCTTGAGAGAGTGGCCACATGAAGAAGGAGACTGCATGAATGAATGACTTCTCAAGGCCTTCTCACTTTTTTTTTTTGAGATGGAGTTTCGCTCTTGTTGCCCAGGCTGGAGTGCAGTGGCACGATCTTGGCTCACTGCAACCTCTGCCTCCCAGGTTCAAGCGATTCTCCTGTCTCAGCTTCCTGAGTAGCTGGGATTATGGGCACCCACCACCACGCCTGGCTAATTTTTGTATTTTTTAGCAGAGACGGGGTTTCATCATATTGGTCAGGCTGGTGTCGAACTCCTGACCTCAGGTGATCTGCCCACCTCGGCCTCCCAAAGTGAGCTACTGTACCTGGCCAAGTCTTTCTTACTTTTAATGATTTTACTTTTTTTATCTTGCTTAGAAGCCTCCACTTTCTTGGCTTGCAGTTCACATTCTGTTAAGTCTTAGACATAAAAGCTGTCATCTGAGCTGAGCTACAAATAAGCGTTGCAAGTCAAATGCCTAAGTTAGGGGTTTGGGGTGTGTGTGTGTGTGTGTGTAACCACTGTTGTTTTTGAAATAACTCGTTGATGCTTTGTTTGCTTTCCGTTTACTCCTCTTTGTTAATGTGGCGGGCAGAATGTTAAAATCCAATGTTAAAACAGAAATATTAGGCCGGGTGTGGTGGCTCACACCTGCAATCCCAGCACTTTGGGAGGCCAAGACGGGAGGATTATCTGAGGTCAGTAGTTCGAGACCAGCTTGGCCAACATGGTGAAACCCCATCTCTACTAAAAATACAAAAATTAGCCAGGCATGGTTGTGGGCACCTACAATTCCAGCTACTCAGGAGGCTGAGACAGGAGATTCACTTGAACCCAGGAGGCTAAGGTTGCAGTGAGCCAAGATCGCGCCATTGCACTCCAGCCTGTGCAACAAAGAGTGAAACTTTGTCAAAAAAAAAAAAAAGAAACCCACAAATATTAGTAATTAGAATGTTTTTCACTTTTCCGTTGATTCCAGATAAATGCAGTTTACTATGAAAATCTAAATTATCTCAGTATATTTCTGAATATACAAATTAACATTGTATAATGTATATTGTATAATATTGTATATTGTATACAATATTGTATAATATTGTATATTGTATAATGTATATTTCTGAATATACAAATTAATAATTATTTCCCATGGAAATTTTTAAAGATGAGGACACAGATTTGGTCATTAGAGATCAGATCATTTTTAAATCCTTACACAATAGATTTATCCTTGAAATATTTCAAAATCCAGTATGCAGCAGATAAAAATTTTTACATGAGTATTTTGTCTTAGGTAAGGAACTGTTATTTAGAGTTGGGGAGAGAGAGTGAGGAGTAGGTTTTTATTTTTATTCTGTTATACTGTAACATTTTTTAGACTGGGAAGGGCACTGACAATCAGACCAATTGTAGCTGTTTCAAAATTGCCAATTTAAAAGTGTGGCACTTTTGAAATTAGCTAAGTGTATATATTTTTCTGACAGTGTTATTAAAAGATAAACTCCTTACCACAAATGAAATGCATCCAAATTAGGCTTTTTAAGTGTGTTTTTCATGAAGAAAACCAGGAGTACTTTTATTGAAATGCCTTCTAGGGGTTCAAAATTAATTCTGGCATAAAGTTGATGACAAAAACTTTTTAGTAAATCACGATTCTGTTTTTCATTGGCCACTCGAATGCCCTGAGGCTCACTCACCGATGCTCCAGACTGGGAAACTGCCTTGTGGCGTACGTGAAAAAGTGGCAGTGGACGTCATCCGTGCATCTTTCTTGGCATTCTTGAGCACTCTTGGCAAGTGAGCTGTTATAGTTTATGCCCTTCATGTCTAGGTCCACATAAATGTCTTTGTTGCAAGCTGGAAATAAAAGCAGAAAACATGAGTACCTTCCAGATTCCAGAGGCACTGACCTCAGCAACTGTCCCTCCTGACTCACCCTGAACTTTTTCACCCACCTTTCCTCAGAAGTCTTTTGTTACATTAATCTGCAAAATTCTTATTCTTGAATGAAAGCAGTAAACGAATGCCAATGTCCTTATATGGTAACAATTTTAGACTCGTAAATTCACATTTTGATTTTCTGACCTCGCCTCTCTTCTCCTTAACTGCACTGATTATTTCACTAATTAACTGATTCAAGTATCTGCTCACGATTAAGACAAGTGTCACTTCAACTTTTATATTTGCTCCTTTTGATTTGGATTAATATGTTTAATAAAGAATTTCAACTGGGCACCATGGAATCCCAGCACTCTGGAAGGCCAAGGTGGGCGGATCACTTGAGGCCAGGAGTTTGAGACCAGCCTGGGCAATACAGTGAGACTCTGTCTCTAGGAACAATTAACAAATTAGCTGGGAATGGTGATGCATGCTTCTGGTCCCAGCTACTCCAGAGGCTAAGGCAGGAGGATCACTTGAACCCAGGTAGTTGAGGCTGCAGTGAGCTGTGATTGCACCACTGCACTCCAGCCTGGACAACAGAGTGAGACCTTGTCACAAAAAAAAAAAAAAAAAAAAGACTTTCATTTAAGATTTTAGGCTGGGAAGTAGAAACAATATAAATAAATGATGAGAAGTGAGGTAGTAAGATATGTCTTTCTATGAGGTAAGGAAATTTTTAGTGTGTTGGAGGGCAGGCATGCATGTATGTTAGTTTATACTCTACATTGAAAGAACTTCATTAAGGGGGTTTATTTCCACATAGCAGTGTTTTATTTCATTGCCATAAAACCATATCTGATGTGACTATATGTATACATCACAACTGGTATTTGTTGGTTCTAACAACATATCTTACCGCTTATTTGGTGTGAGCATTGCTTGAAAGAATACCCAGAAATCGCTCCTGTCCTATTCACTCTTGGCAGTGTTTCTGTAACACTGTCCTTCAGGACACAAGTAAACCTGTTTTTTAAAAAATACATATCACTGAATAGGAATTTATGTTTTTAAAATAATGGGTCTTAAAAGTCAGCACACAGAAAGCCAAAGAGAAGGAAACAAACTACTTTATCTCATGCCAAAACAAGTATTTTCTTAGCAAGTTTCTGAGTTTGCTTTTTACTTCAACATCCCTACACTTAAGAGACTACATGTAATACTCCTTCCTAACAGGAACAAACAGCAATGGGTGAACTATGGCCTGTTGGTAAAATGCAACCAAAAATCTGTGTGTTTTTGTTTAGCCTGTTAGCTCTACAAAATGATTTTTATATTTTCAAATGGTTACATTTTAGGTGGTGACATAAATACTTATATAATATCCTTGGCTTTACTGCGGATTTTGCCCACAAAGCCTAATACATTTACTCTGCTTTATTAAGAAGGCATTTTCCAAACCCTGTTCTAGATTCTGGAGTAGTAAATTTTATAAGTTCAGGGTGTTATATAAATGCCTGTGAATGCAGCAATAATACACAAAGATGTTGAAAACTTAATTCTACAGAAAGGCTTATTATTACATTTTCAAGCTCAGGATGGGAACACAAATGGTTGGCGGACTGTTCAAAATATTTTAAACCTACCAAACAACCCAATGCAGCGTGTGACTCTTGGTAAGATTCTGGTTAATTACTATAAATTACATTTAAGGGAAAACTGAAATAATATAAAGGAATTCTTGTTAAATTTCGTATGTCTTTTGTGTAGGATAATGCATGTTGAAGTATTTGGGGTAAAGTGTCATGTTTTAAAATTATTTCAAATGGTTAAGCATGTGTACAAATATAGGTATTATATATTGTATTATATATTATATTATATATTGTATATTGCTATACAAATATAGCAAACATTGCAGTCTTGGTGGTGGCAAGGGATCATGGTACTGTACTATTTTTTCAAATTATCTTTTTAAATATTTAATTTTTTTCTAATAAAATAGTTGGGAGAAGTTCCAGTTTAAAGCACAACAAAAATTAATAACTGATAGAAAAGCAAAGTGTGAAATGTTTAAGAAGCATAAAAATTGAGACAAACAGAAGAAACATACCATTAATACTGTGACTATAAGAGAGCCTGGAAAGCCTACACTTGGAGGCATATTTATTCTTTTCTGAATTGCCTAAACACCATCCCTTCTTTCTGTAATGATATTTCAGCTGAAAGACAATTGATCTTCCAGTTGTCAGTGTTAAATTGTGTAAAATGGTAGATGGAGATGTGTTAAGAACGGCGGTCTCCCTGTAAAAATCTGTCTCCTCGATGTGGAGACAGAAGCACTTACCACTGGGTAGGATCCTCAGATGCAGATTCCACCGTGAAAGTGAAGAGCAGACATCGTGGGTGGTGAGTGCAGACCACTTGGCAGTGCTTGGCGCTTGGTGTGAAAACCGTAGCAATGTCCCCTCCTTCAAAGTGGATGTCCTTGAACAACCGAGTCACACATTCTGTGATGTAACACATGGCATGCTTTATTTTGGATTTTACTGGGCATATACCTAATTAGGTAATAATCTCATAAAGGCAAGGCAAGTAGCTCTACTTAACAGGAAATACACCTGAATTTGGAAATCAAGGCAATGAACACTTTTATGTGAGTTTTTTGAATGAACAGCCTCAGCTGGAAACGAAAATCACAAAATGGTACATTGGCTGCAATGGAATTGTGCTTATGAGTCATTGTCTTGGAGACAAGGAGTGCTTTGAGAGTGATTGAATCGTTTCAAGGATCTTTACTGGCAAAAGCTGCTGCTTTTCAGGATCTCATCCCGGTTTGGAATGAGCCTTCTGCTTTTTACTTTTTACTTTCCTAACTGCGTCTCTTCGTCCAACCCTGTGCTTATTTGAAACGAAGGCTCCAGAGTGATCAGTTTCTGATAGCATCTAATGGCCCGGGGGTGTGATAACATACATCCTCACCCCACTGAGTATAATCTGGAAACCCCACCATGGAAATCCCCATCTTTGGGGGGAAAGCAATCTTGCTACTTTAAAATACCACTTTTAAGAAGAATATTAATTGACGAATCAAATAAATGTTCTATATTTAATCATGTGGAGTGGGCGCAGTGGCTCATGCTTGTAATCCCAGCACTTTGGGAGGCTAAGGTAGGCAGATTGCTTGAGCTGAGGAGCTCAAGACCAGCCTGGGCAACGTGGCAAGACCCTGTCTCTATAAAAAATACAAAAAAAAAAAAAATTAGCTGGGCATGGTGGTTTCCACCTGTAATCCCATCTACTCGGGAGGCTGAGGTAGGAGGATCTCCTGAGCCTGGGAGTTTGAGGCTGCAGTGAGCTGTGTTTGCACCACTGCACTCCAGCCTGGGCGCAGAGCAAGACTCAGTTTCTCTCTCTGTCCCTCTCTCTCATGCGCGCATGTGCACGCGCACACACACACGTGCACACACGTGCTCTGTGTGTGTGTACACCATGCACTGATTTTCTTAGAATATATCCCCCTCCTTATTGGATTATTTAATTTTACAAGACAAATTGATTTTCAATATGCCACTAGGTGGGAGGATGGGAGTGGGTGAGCGTTGAAAAATTACCTGTTGGTTCACTACTTGGGTGATGGGTACACTAAAAGCCGGCACTTCACCACTGCATAACACATGTATGTAAGAAATCTGCACTTACAGCTCCTAAACGTATAAACATTTAAAAAATTTTGGAAAATCCACATGCAGCTTCTAGTGTCAGTAAAAACTAGTTAATCTGTTTTGCGAACTAGCAAGTGCTTGCTATTGTATATTGACGTTGTATCTGGACTTCTTAGTAATTTAATTAATTGGCTCAAATAATTTATGTGATGGTTAATTTTGGATTTTTCTAGGTACACGATCATATCATCTGTGTAAAATGAGAGTTTATGCTCCCCCTAATCATTTTCCTTTTATTTCCTATCCTTACTGCACCAACTAGTACCTCCTTATAATATTAAATGGAAACAATGGGAAGTATTCTTGCCTTATTCTCAATCCCTTGGGAAAGCTTTCAATATTCCACTATTATGTATTACGTTTCTTGAAGATTTTTGGTTTGGATTTGTGTTTGCTTTTGTTTAAAATGCCCTTTAATGGTCGATGAAAGTTCTCTTCCATTTCCAGCTTACTAAGAGTTTTGATCATCAACAGAATTTTAGCAAGCGTTTTTCTGCACATATTAATATTTAAAATTATTTTTATTTTTTATTGTGACAGAGAACATACCATGTGCCATGTAGCCATTTTGAGTGTACCGTTCTGTGGCACTAAGTGCATTTACATTGCTGCGTAACCATCAGCACCGTCCACCTCCAGAACTTTCCAACTTCCCCAGCAGATGCTCTGTGCCCATTAAACACCAACTCTCACCCCTTCCCTCACCCCTCGGCCGCTGGCAACCTCTGTCCTAATTTCCATCTTGATGAAACTGACTACGTTAGGCACCTCATATCAGTGGGGTCCCACAGTATTTGTTCTTTTGTGACTGGCTTATTTCACTCAGCATGATGTCTTCAAGGTTTATCCATGTGGTGGCCTGTGTCAGAATTCCCTTTCTTTTTAGGGCTGAGGAATATTCCATTGTCGGTATGTGCCACACTTTGTTTATGCAGCCACCTGTCGATAAAGCCATGGGCTGCTTCCGCCTTTGGATTAGCGTGAATAACGCTGCTATGAAGATGGGTGTACAGGTATATCTGTGTGAGTTCCTGCTTTCCCTTCTTTTTTTTTTTTTTTTGGTATGTACCCCAAAGTCACACATCTATTGATTGTGAATGTTAAATCAACTTTTCATTCCTGGAATAAGCCTAATGTTGTCACAATGTCACACTGTAATCATCCTTTAATTTGTTTAACATTCTACTGGGTTAAGTTGGATAATATTTTGTTAAGGATATTTACATATGTTCATAAGATAGAAGACCTGTGATTTTTTTTTTCCCCCTCAGAATTTTCCTGTGAGATTTTGGTGTTAAGATTACACTGACCTTATAAAATGGATTGGAAAGGGATTATGTTGATCTCTCAAATATGTTTGTCTTCCATTTAATTAATTTCTGCGATTTATTCTTTCTGCCTTCTAGTTTCTTAGCACTTAAGTCGCTATTCTCTATCTTCTGGTCATCTTATATCATTAATTTTTACCTTTTCTGTAGTCTAATGTATACATGTAAATCTATACATTTGATCTCAACACTGATTCAGTTACATCTCCAAGTTCTGATATACTGTATTTTCATTATTGTACAATTCTTTTTGTAATTACCATTGTGATTTCATCTCTGACTCATATTAATTTAAAAAGGTATACTCAATTTTCAAACATTTGGGGATTTTCAGTTCCCTTTTTATTATTATTTTAGCTCCCATTCACGGTGATTGAATAACATGTTCAGTATAATTTTAACCCTTTAAAATCTGTTGAGACTTGTTTCAGAGGCTTGTGTGTGGTCAATATCTGTAAATGTTCCGTATGCATGTATAAAGGACCTATATATGTACACTATCATTCCTTGATATCTGTGGGGGGGATTGGCTGCAAGACCTCCTGCAGATACCAAAATCCATGAACGCTCAAGTCCCTGATATAAAATGGCACAGTATTTACATATAACCTACTCACAGCCTCCTGTGTACTTTAAATCATCTTGAGATTACTTATAATACCTAGTACAATGTAAATGTTATGTAAATTGTTGTTATACTGTGTTGTTTAGGGAATAATGACAAGAAAAATGTCTGCACATGTTGAGTACAATTTTTTTAAAAATATTTCACTCCAAGGTTGTTTGAACCCATGGATGTGGAACTCATGATTTGGGGGCCAATTGTTCATGCAGTTATTGGGTCCAGTGTTCAAAATATATCCAATTATTTAGCGCTGACATGTTTATCAATGAAATAACAACACAATTTCCAGATAATTATAACAAAGAAATAGTATAACTTGAGCAGTAATCTTGTCACAGAGAACATTGAAATTATAAATTGTGTAATTTAATATATTAAGTGGAATTTATTTTTAATATCTTCACCTAGATTTGCCTTTTTTCACATATGCCAGAAAAAAAGAATTTACTGTGCTTAAAATGCTAGCAATAGTATGAGAAATTAAATATAACATGTATACATAAGTTACTTTTCTAAAAGAATGCTTCAGCTTTCATTTTAAATAAAGAATGGTCGTGGAACTAAACAATACTTGTACTGATATATCCTACTTAATATTGGCTAAGTAATTTATAAACAAATTTAGCAGATGTGACATAGGGTGAATTAACAGGGTAGTTAAATTATTGAAATGCATAAACTATGTATAAATATTTACATAACATTTTTCAGTACAAAATTCCTATTTTATGTGTGTGTGTATGTTCCATTGAACTGACTGCTTTATGAAAAACCAACTAATTAGTGAGGCAAGTCAAGATTTCTTCTTTTTAATATTGCTTTTAAATATCATTTAAATGAATGATGTACATAGGCATGGATGTAGATATGGTATACATAGAGACACAGATTCCTGCCAATACAAACAATTTTTTCACCTCAGTTCCTACCCTGCTTTGAAAACCTCTGGAGCCTTAATCAGGAAGTAAAGGAAACCATTTTATTTCCTTCCCTGGCATAAATGGTGTGGGATTCTCCCACGTGTGTGGAGACTGTAGTGTGGTTTCCCTCTCCCAGTCCATAGTTAAGATAACACTCTACTTACCACCAGAGACTGAAGTAAATAAAATGAAATGTACCATTTGATACAAGAAAATCATCCTACAATGAGAAAAAGGTGCATGTTTTTAGAATATAAAATGTAAATTTAGAATTAGTTTACTGACACTAAGATTTACAAGAAATAGGGAGAGAGGTGAGTAGTTAACTCAATAGCGTTCACAGGTTTCTCATTATAATGTTGAATGTTATCTTTCCCAATCCTGGAGCACTCCTTAGTGTGGCTGTGTGTGTATCGTTCAACACTAGCTTCTGCAGAAGCTGAACCCACAGGGAAGCAGCCCCTCCCCTCCTCTCTCCTTCCCCGCCGCCCCACTGCTTGCTATGATCAGATCCTTCCCACCACCACCATCTGACCGCTCTCCCCGCCCCAATTTTTCGTCTTTGTTTCCCTTCCCAATTTTTTTCCTTCCTTTCTTTCCTTGAGGCCTCTCCCTATATCTTTCAAAGAGCTATGAATGATTTCCTACTTAGAAAATTTTCTATTTAAAAAAATCTGTGGCTAATACAGTAATAGATTGTCTTGGTCACCTATAAATCTATTTATCCCCACTAAGCATTAAACAGGCTCTAGGAAAGACGGAGTCATCAGTGAGACAAATCAAGACTTCCGATTTTTCAGTATTGCATTTGGATGCCTTTTTAACTCATAAAACACTTGTTACTGAGTAGACACTGTTACTCTTCTTTCGTTCCCCATTTCCTCTCGAATTAGTTATGGATATTAGCTGAACATCACTACAAAGCTCAATCAGACACATTTTAAAAATCCGTCATTCTCTATTGTAAAGTGTTTTTAAATTCCTATGATTTACAAAAAGCATTTCAAGGCATATTTGCTTGAGAGGAATGTTAAATAATAAGTTCTGAAACTGTACCTGAAAAGACCTTGTTTGCTTGTTTGCTGCAATGCTTAATAAGGGTGTTTTTCTTCTTCCAAACTGATCTTCATCCTCCCCTGAATGAGCTTGTGTAGGAAATGGTCACTTAACTTTAATATTTACTTGTACTAGTTCTCAGTGTTATGTAACATTGTCTCTCGGTACAGCGTATTTGTGAAAGTCGTTAAAATCTTAGTATGTTAGAAATATACCTTGAGAGAATTGCTTGCTTTCTCAATACATTGAATTTATATTTTAATTTTAATTCGTATTCAAACAAGTGACATACACAGAGACAGCTGTAGAGCTTGATTTTGTCTGTATGCCTTAGCGGTCGCACAACGTGCCTGCTAGCCAAAGCTGCATTTAACCACACTTTCACCTGTCGGCTGTTAACCATTAATTCCAGCTTACCTTGAATCCCAAAGTCTAAAAAGAAAACATGGAAAGTCTAATGGATTCATTGATTTGCAATATAGTGGAGGGAGGAGACTTTGGCTGCTGAGGGAGACCCGACGGGTGGGAAGCAAAGTACAGATCGCTCCTAAGTGCCTGGCTCCTGTGGAGTCAGTTTCCTTTCAGGTAAGGCTGCCTCTCAGAGGCCTATGCAGACAGGATTCCTTCTAAGGCAAGCTTTTTTTTTTTTTTTTTTTTTTTTTTTTTAAATTCTCACTTGTGAACACTAAAAGTCTATTTTTTAAAACAAAAAAAAAAAGCTCTTTTAGCTTTCTCTTTCTTTCTTTCTTTCTTTCTTTCTTTCTTTCTTTCTTTGACAGAGTCTCTCGTGATGCAGGCATGAGTGCAGTGGCGTGATCTCGGCTCACTGCAACCTCCACTTCTCGGGTTCAAGCGATTCTCCTGCCTCAGCCTCCTGAGTAGCTGGGACTACAGGCATGTGCCACCATGCCTGGCTAATATTTATTTATTTATTTATTTATTTTTGTATTTTTAGTAGAGACAGGGTTTCACCATGTTGGTCAGACTGGTCTCAAACTCCTGACCTCAAATGATACGCCAGCCTCAGCCTCCCAAAATGCTGGGATTACAGGCATGAGCCACCACGCCCAGCCTCTTTTTAGCTTTCTTTAGATCCTGGGACACAGACCCAAATGGAGATCTAGGAAGTGACATGTCTAGCGGCTGCATGACAGTCAGCAAAAGCAGAGCAGGTCACATCCCCGAAGGAAAGGGTGGTTTTGTCCTGGGGGGAGCCTCTTCCAATGGTAGGACCTGTCGCTTATAGGCAGGAAAGTTTGTGAAAAAGTTTTAGGGGGTTTCACATAATTTTATTTCCATGAAGGCTTTCCCTCTGGCCTTGAAGAAGGTCTGAAAGCCTATGGAGGGCATGTTCATCCCTGCCTGCTGTTACCCAGACCTACTCACTGGCTGACGAGTCATGTGACTTGAGCGGAACCAGCCTGTGCACTGTCACCAGCCACCTGCAGGCCCTTGGCTTCAGTTTCCTCATTTAGAACATAAGGCACTAACTAGTGCTGAGAGTTTCTGTGCGGTCCCCTAAAACACCTCACAACACGAACACAAAACAGTTTTCAATATGCCTGATTTGAATACATTTTGGAGAAAGATAATTTTATGCTTCAGAGAAGGCTCTCAATTTTTCCTAGAGAAGCAAAATACGATCTTGTGTTTATAAATGGAATCATAATTTTAAAAAAACATATTTGGAAGACCAGGGGAGAAATGACAGGGAATTAAGGGAATGTGAACTGAGAACAGGTCTTTTTGTAAAGTGCTGAAGAACTAGGGTGATGTTCTATCTGGAAGGCATTTACTCAGATATTTTTATTTGATCTGTCGCCAGTACATTTGACCTATCCTGGCATAAAGAGTTCCTAGCTGTTTTCTTGAGTTTCCCATTTAAAGTTAAGTACATTCCAGCTACCCAAAAAGTGCATATTTATGATGCATTGCCTTTTATGAGGCTCAACCATAGAATGGCAAATTCATGCCAAGAATGGCTTTCATGGAAAACGGATATGTGAGATTATATGAGGTCCTTATATCCTTGTATTGTTTACTCCATGAAACCTCATCTCTCTTCTGAAGCCCCAATAAAAAAAAGATAAGGATAACTCTTCAACCCTATTGAGAGAAACAGAAAGGGTCTAAATAAGAGAAATGCTTCATTGGAAAACCAAATAATATTTTCCTAAGTTTGAGTTAGCTAGTTAGTGAAATCTTTAAGGTCTTTGAAATAGTATCAGGATTCAAAAATTTGTGTCTATTCAAATAAAAGTAGAATAAGAGTTTTTGTTTTGTTTAGTTTTGTTTTTTAGACAAGACTTCACTCCTGTTGCCCAGATGGGAGTACAGTGGTGTGATCTCAACTCTCCGCAGCCACCAGGTGATCCTCCCACCTCAGCCTCCTGAGCAGCTAGGACTACAGCCGCATGTCACCCCACATGGCTAATTTTTGTACTTTTGTAGAGACAGGGTTTTGCCGTGTTGCCCAAGCTGGTCTGGAATGCCTGGGCACAAGCGATCCACCTGCCTCGGCCTCCCAAGTGCTGGAATTACAGGCATGAGCCACCGTGCTCGGCCTAGAATAAAAGTCTTGAGTACATAGAAACTCTTTGAGATTAAATAGACCTTTCTTTTAAACTGACCTAGATATTCTTTAAAAATTATTTTCAACTAATGCATTGCAGTTTAAAATTCTCATATCAACTATTTTTATCTTCATTTTTTTTTCAGTGAAATGAAAGGTTTTTGAATATTTAAAGCCTGATGAAAATCAGGAATAACTAGACAAAGTCTTAGGAAGAATCTATAAGTTAGTCTGCAGAAACCCAAGTACAAGTCAGAAGTTAGGATTATAAACCAAAAAATATCTGAGACAGGTCTCAGTCAATTTAGAAAGTTTATTTTGCCAAGGATAAGGATGTGCCTATGACATAGCCTCCTGAGGTCCTGATGATATGTGTCCAAGGGGGTCAGGGCCCAGCCTGATTTTATACATTTTAGGGAGACATGAGACCTCAATCAATCTACGTGAGATGTACATTGGTTTGGTCTGAAAAGGTGGGACAACTAGAAGAAGGGAAGGGGGCTTCCAGGTCATAGGTAGATAAGAGACAACAGGTGCATTTTTTCGAGTTTCCGATTAGCCTTTCACCAAATATGCAATTTACAAGAACAGTCACTCATGCCTTAGTCTGGCTCAGTGAAACAACATGGCAAATGAAGCAATCAGATACCCACTTGTCTCATGTCAGCAGAGGGTGACTCTGACTTCTGCCTGTCCTTTTTCCACAAGGAATTTCCTTGTGGGCAAATTGTGAGGCATGTAGCTTTTTAAAACCTTTTTAAAGCTTAAAAAAGGTTTCTTATAGCTTAAAAAAGCTATCTTATTTAGGAATAGAATGGGAGCAAGGTTTGCCCAATGCAGCTCCCAGCTTGACTTTTCCATGTGGCTTCATGATTTTGGGGGTCCCAAGGTTTATTGTCTTTTCAGTGGATCATAGGTGGGAGATGTATTGGACATATTGTGACTTAAAGCCTTCTGCTTGGGACAGGAATGACCACAATGGCATCAGTTGACTGAGACCCCTTCTCAGGCATGGCCATAATCAACTCTCAGAGCTCCTTCTCTCGCCTATCAAAACCCGCTTTGAAAACAGACACGATAAAAAAGAAGGAAATCGTTCCATTTGCAGCAACGTGGATGGAACTGGAGGTCATCATGTTAAGTAAAATAAGCCAAGCACAAAAAGACAAACATCGCATGATTCCATAAAAGATGATTTCATGGTGGTAGAGAGTATATGGTGGTTACCAGAGGCTGGGAAGGGTGTGTGGGTTGGGGATGGGAAGTGGGGTCGAAGAGAGGTTGCTGAATGGGCGCAACCATAGAGTTAGACAGAAGGAATACATTCTAATGTTTGATAGAAGAGCAGGGTGACTATAGTTAACAAGAGGGTATCATAGTTTTCTAAATAGCTAGAAAAGGACTTGAAATGTACTCAACACATAGAAATGGTCGGGTGATGGGTAGGTATCCTAAACACGCTGACTTGATCATTACACATTCCATGCATATAACACAATTTCACATGTGCCCCATGAATATGTACAAATATAATGTATCAAAAATAAAGAAGAGAAAGGGCACAGCCTGCCAGGTCCTACGACCCCTTTCTTGCTGTTCCTGAAACGTCCTCTTCTCATTACAAGGTTTTAATGCTGACATGAGGTCAGGCTTTCTCAACCCTGGCATGACTGATATTGGGGCAGGATAACTCTCTTTTGTGAGGGGCTGTCCCACACATCGCAGGATGTTTAGCAGCATCCCTGGCCTCCACCCACTCCAGCCAGTTGCACACCCTCTCCCATTAGGACCACCGAAAATGTTTCTAGACATTGCCAAATGTTTCCTGAGGGGAAGGGAGGGCAAAATCGCTCCCAGTGGGAAACACCAGTGTCAGATGTTAATGAAAATAACAGATGGCGGTTATAAATGCTCCGTCATCTGTCCTCCTTCTCCTAGTGAGAAGCAGCAGGATATCGGTGAGAGGACGTTGTCTGGGGCAGGAATGCCGAGCTTCGTTCCAGCTCTGTCCTTGCCAGTGACCTTGAGCTAATCATTTTACCTCTTCAAGTCTCCATTGCCTTATTTTTGTAATAAAGGTGTATCATCAGCAGCCATTTACTGAATGCCCATTACATGCAACATGAATGAGAGAGCCTTCCTAGAAGCCGCTCGCAGTCAGGTAAAGCAGACAGACAGAAACAATCATTGAAAGGAAAAGTTCCAAGTTTTCAAGAGGGGGTTCCCATGCCTTGGCAGGGACTGAGACAGATGTTGGAGCCCTTGGCCGACCTTGGAGCCAGATGACTTGTGCATGTGCTTGCATGCCACGTGTACACTGCCGCCGCAGGAGGGCAAGGCCAGCTCGCAGGATTGGCACTGCCACCAGCCTTTGTGAAGTAGAACTGCCAGTGACCCATGCCTGCTCCCTTCAGTCTTCCTGGTGAGAGTGAAGTCATCCCAGCCTCTCATTTTCTTAGCCCATTTCACACTTTTTAGTCCCACGAGGCTGTAACTGTGTGAAGGGCTCCTCAGTTTCCCCTGGGTGTGAGCACACAGTAAGTGACCGAGACACCGTCCCGGTCCTACCAGACTTGGATTGACAACTTTACAGTGACAGTTTATGCCTCGGGAAAGTTCCATATTTCAAAACTCTCCTCTGTTTTACCAAACTAGGTCATTCCCTAACACAGGCCAAAGGTTTACCCTGCAAGCATTCCAAAGTCCTGTTCCGACACCCGATGGTCAACACTCAAAGACTGAGATAGAAGAGTTTCATTGCAAACCATTTTCTTCCTTTTAAACATAAAAAAATCCACATGAACAAAGACGAATGTCTTCATTGCATGCAAAGGCAAAAGTTTACATAGTGCGTTTTAAAAATAATTTCATGGAATCTAGCCAGATTTTACAAAAGCCATCCAATTCCGAAGTAAATTTTTAACTCTTCAGTTTCCTACTATCTGGTTTGTGGATAGCCCAGATCTCATGTTTTCCTTTAGCCTCTCCACCTTTAGCTCCTCCTACCACCCAGTGTGTCTTTGAGAAGGGGTTCCCAACCCACGAGGAACAGACCAGTACCCGGTCCATGGCCTGTAGGAACCAGGCCACACAGCAGGACGTGAGTGGCAGGCCAGCAAGCATTACCACCTAAGCTCAGCCTCCTGCCAGATCCGCGGCAGCAGGAGATTCCCATAGAAGCTCAAACCCTACTGTGAACCGCACATGCGAGGGATCTAGGTTCCTTATGAGAATCTAATGCCTGATGATCTGTCACTGTCTCCCATCACCCTCAGATGGGACTGTCTAGTTGCAGGAAAACAAGCTCAGAGCTCCCACTGGTTCTACATTATGGTGAGTTGCATAATTATTTCATTATATATTACAATGTAGTAATAATAGAAACAAAGTGCACACTAAATGTCATGCACCTGAATCATTCCAGAATCATCCCCCCCACCGACCAGCTGGTTCGTGGAAAAACTGTCTTCCACAAAACTGGTCCCTGGTGCCAAAAAGATTGGGGACCTCTGTTCTTGAGCATCGAAGGAAAAACCCAAACTCTTTCAGAAAACCTCACTTTTCTATTTTTCTACTTAACTTATGTAAGATTTTGTAAATGACCAATTCTGGTAAATGTTAAACTGAGCTGAATCAAGTGAGCTGGTGTCAGTTATGGTGAGCCCCAGCATATGAGGAATTTGTGTGGCATAAGGATTTCTATCATCCATTCTAAAGGCTACCATAAATTTACAAGTTTGAATTTTATGAAATAATTTATACCTAACAGGGCCGGGCACGGTGGTTCAAGTCTGTAATCTCAGCACTTTGGGAGTCCAAGGCAGGTGGATCACAAGGTCAGGAGATCGAGACCATCCTGGTCAACACAGTGAAACCCCGTTTCTACTAAAAATACAAAAAATTAGCCGGGTGTGGTGGCGGGCACCTGTAATCCCAGCTACTTGGGAGGCTGAGGCAGGAGAATGACGGGAACCTGGGAGGCGGAGCTTGCAGTGAGCCGAGATCATGCCACTGCACTGCAGCCTGGGCGACAGAGCAAGACTCTTTTCAAAAATAAATACATAAATAAATAAATAATAGTAATTTACACCTAACAATGCTTCCTTTTTTTTTGAGACAGAGTCTCACTCTGTCGTCCAGGCTGGAATGCAGTAGTGTGAACTCTGCTCACTGCAGCCCCACTCAGGTGATCCTCCTGCCTCAGCTTCTGGGGGAGCTGGGATTACAGGCATGCACCACCACGCCCAGCTAAGTTTTGTAGAGATGGCATTTCATCACATTGCCCAGGCTGGTCTTGAACTCCTACGCTCAAGTGATCCACCTGCCGTGATCTTCCAAACTGTTGGAATTACAGGCATGAGCCAACGCTCCATCCTAAAAATGCTCCTTGAATTACTAATGCAATAGCCCATATCCACTGAGCCTCCAGGGCTAATGCCCCTTACAAAGCAGATTCCTTGCCTACCATGAAGGCTGTGCAATGCTGCAGCCCCTCGAGTTCCTCAGCACGCGCAGCCTGAACCCTCCTATCCATGCCCCAGTAGCAAAGTTAGGAGGCCAAGAGGCAAACATGCCCGATGGGTTCAGGTAACCCATCTCTTTCTCATAAAAGTGGGTGTGACACAGGTGTTCTCCCTTCCACTCGGCAGAACAAAACCCAAGCCTGCTAGCTCTTTGCCACAAGTGAAGCAGGCAATCGTGGGTTTCAGTGGCTAACCAGGTGCAGCAAGGAGAGGAAACTACCTCTTTGAGATAGACTGAGTTCCAGAAGAAGTAGTGCAATTAGAGGGAGTCCAGGCACTGTGCCAGAACCTCAGCCACTTACTTTCAGTTCTGTTTCACAACCAGAAGAAAACACTTGCTAATTGTGATCTTTTGCCATTTTATTTTACAACACACAATCATGGAGATCTCGGTTGCGACTTCACATTATCAGCTCCCAGTTACTGAATGCTGAAAGCTGGCTTCAGCAAAACATTGACCTCAGCAGCTCTGAGTGCACTGTCTTTTGTCCTTACAACAGGATGCAAAGTAGATGCCACTCTCCATGCTTTGCAGATGAGGATCCCCAGGCTCAGAATTTGACTTGAACCCAGGTTGTAAAACTCGCCAAGACTCTGGGCTGCTCCTCATGCTGGCGCCTGCATCCGAGCGTTTCCATCACTGCTCTGTATTTTCTCTAAAATCCAGTCCATGTACTCAGCGACTTTGGTGTAGACACCAGGTTGCTCCCTGCGGGCACAACCTTCGCCCCAGCTGGTGATGCCCACCAAACGCCACATTCCATTGTGTTTGCAAGCTAAGGGACCCCCTGAATCTCCCTGAGTCACAGGGGAAAAATAAAATGGTAGAAAGTTATGACAATGGGATTCAAATAAGTGACCACCTCTAAAATTCTGTAGTCCACTACACAGCAACACACACACACACATACACACACACACACACAACTTTCTTAAAGTTCTCCAAGTATCTCATGTGCCTGCATTTTTTGTATCCCCTCTTCAATTCTGAAACAAATCTAACAAAGAAATCTTGATATCATCATCCCAATGACAAAGAAATCTAATGTTTTTATATTTTAGTGCAATTATTGTATGTATTTTTGTCCCTCTTAAATTAGCACATGTATAGATTGTGACATGCATCATGAATAATATAAATATGTATTGTATATATTCAATTTGTTAAAAGTTGCTTATAAATTTATCAGATCATTTGTCTCTGAATTCTTTTAAAAACTATAATAAATTATGCTATTGGAAAATATATTTTGAAGTGAATTTTCTCAAGCAGCCTATTGTGTTTTTCATAATCTCATGCATTACCTTACAAGCATCTTTTCCCCCTTCTTTATAGCCAGCACAGACCATCCGTTGGGTTATTTTATAATCTTGATATCTTTTCTGGCATTCTTCATTTGTTACCAAAGGAATATTTACCTTTTGTAGAATATCTTGGATTTCACCTGTGAAGTAACCAATATACAACTTCAGAGGGAGGAAACATAATAAATAGTAAATATGGAAATAAGTTTTCAAGTGAATCAGAGCAGTGTACTTTTTTATAAGGGCCGTATCTTTGAATACAAATAGTAAAAATTAGGAAGGTAGTGTTACACACACACACACACACACACACACACACAGAGAGAGAGAGAGAGAGAGAGAGAGAGAGAGACGGAGCCCTGCACTGTCCTCTTATTACCTGTGTGGTGTTGGGACAAGCCCAGCACCCTGGGCTGACCGGAGACTTTGCTTCCGTGTCTTCTGCCATCCCCTCATCTCGGTAACAGTCCCCCAGAAATCCCATTTTATATTAACACCTACAAAAATCCAAAGCCTGGAAGTTCTCACTTTTCATTTTTTTGTTTCATATATTCCAAATTATAATTGAAAACCCTATCGTTTCTGAAAAGCCCTCTGAGCTTTCGCGACAGAGGGGTCTTGGGGTCTTTTGTTTTTGAGTAAATGCAAGCGAGCATCTCTCATGGGGAGAACAGTGTTGGGAGCTTTCGTTGCTTAGTGAAGATTACTTTTCATTTCTTCTTGTCTCAGATTACCAGTAAAAAATCTAAAAATGTGAATTACTTGAACTGAGGACTGAATCGGGAAAGATGGAGAGAGTTTGGCAAGCTACCTTCTTCTGTAAAGAATGACACAGATATTGTTCTCCATAGTGTCTATCAGGAACATAATTTTGGAAAGGGAGACTGGTCTGTTTCCTAAAAAGTTCAAGGACAAATGGAACACTCCAGATACCCACAAGCAGGAATTGCAAACCTAAGGTCCTCAGAAAGAATTCACATGGTTTATAAATTTGTGTAGAAAAAAAGTCTTTGTTTTCACAAACCTCCAGATGAAGCCTACCACTCCCTTCGATTATGAATGCAGACAACAAACACAGCAGTATCAGTGGCACCTATGACTTTGCCATCAACAGAGATTACAGATATTTTCATATCACTTTTCAGTTGTGGCAGATAAGTGAAAATGCCATTTATGCTCACCACTATTTCAAAAGTATGTTTGGTATTAGAATAACTTGCTACATAGAGGATTAATAAAGAGGCATATATATTATTGTAGCACTTTTTGAAAGTATTTTGAGAACTGTCTTGCACTTCACTTGGTTTCTTTTGTAATCCTGTGTATTTTATTTAAGCATTTAAAAGCATTATTAGAGAAGTGGTTCCTAGGCTTCCTCAGATTGCAGGAAGGGTGCCTGGAAGAAGATGAAGAACTGGCCACAGAGAGAGGCGACACGCCTGCCTGTGCTCCTGGCCATTAGCATCAAGGGAGAACATGGTATTGGAAGATGGGAATGCTGCTAACACTGAGGACCAGATGGTCTTGCACGGGCTCGTCAGCCTTAGATGGGGACAATCCTTCATGCGAAGTCAAGCAAATGATCTTTAGAATGAAGTAAGATGCTTAAAATTCTCCCTAAAATTTTTTTTTCAAGCCAAAGCAAAAATACGTTTTTTAAGAATAACTGAATAAATATTTGGGAATAAACAGGTAGGAAAGATAAAGGGGTTCGATATAATTTCAGACAGAAGCCGATTAAAACGACCCACTCCATACATCTCAACATGTAAGACTTACTCTAGAAGCAATATTTAAAGCATCATGCTGTACCTTTTTCCTTCGAGAAGCCCCATCCAGTTACCCAACAGTTGGTATAAATTGTGTCTGTGTCACCTTTGGAAGGTAGGCATATTGGTTTTTGGAATTCTGAAACATAATTTTTAAATTAGAGTTTGGTCAAATAAAGTTATGGATGTAGACTTTAAAAATACATCTTTTTCTTTTTCTGTCTTCTCTTTCTATAGAGTAGCACCAAGAATAACTTTTTTGCTTTCTGCCCAACTTCTAAGGCTATTGATTCAAGAAAATTTGTCACCACCATTTTTCACACGACCTTTTTGGTGTTACAATTTTCTGAGTTACATTCTTAAAACTCAGAACCTAAATCTACGGTCAAAAGCATTTAGAAGTTCCTGCGTCTTATTCCGTGTATGCTATCTTTAATAGTCATAGCAGGGTGTCTTCACTGTTCCAGACATGAAGTGCTTTAATGTATTGATTATTACAACAAACCCAGGAAGAAATTATCATCCTCATTTTACAGATGAGGAAATTAAGAGGTGCAAAGAGGTAAAGCAACTTGCCCAAGGTCACATAATTGTGTGCAGTGGCACGATCTTGGCTCACTACAGCCTTGACCTCCTGGGCTGACATGATCCTCTTGTCTCAGCCTCCTGACTAGCTTGGACTACAGGTGCACACCACCACACCCAGTTAATTGTGTGTTTTTTTGTAATTTTATGTAGAGACGGGGTCTCACTGTGTTGCCCAGGCTGATCTCAAACTCGTGACCTCAAGCAATCCTCCCACCTGGGCATCCCAAAGTGTGGGGATTACAGGTGTGAGCCACCATGCCTGGCCATTAATGTTGTTGGATACAGTGGGTATTCAGCTCCTGGCAGCAACGAACCTCCAAAGGCAACACCTCTAATCACATGCTCTGGCCTTTCCAGGGCTTCTTTCGGCATCAGTCTCTTTCCTACCCAAATTATACCTGGAAATATATATCTAGTCCCACTGGTCCTCACACATTCTAATATCCCTAAGCCCAAAGCAATGACAGTTCTGCTACTCTTGTCAAAGGAAGCCCGGTGCCTCTCAGACGGCACAGACGTCTCCTCTGCCTATTATTTCCATCACCTGCACACAGCTGTGCTCCTCCCCAAAAGAACTAATTCACATTTCTTGCTCTTTACGTAGAAGAGATTTCATGGCAAGTCGTGGGATCTTCACTTCCCATGCAACCCTCCCCTTTCCCTCAACTCCACCAGTCAGAAAATAACGACAGTCTCTCTAGATCTGCCCTCTTGTTCAAATTGATGTGAAAATATCATCCAGTACAATTCTGCTATCCACCTTCTTACATATGCTACATACCAGTGTAATTCAAAGGAGCCTGGAGTTTTATTAAGGCGATATCATGATTCCCTTCTGAGATTCTATAGTTTTGGTGAATAATGATCTCCTTTATTTGTGAGAAAGGTGTTTCTTTCGTAATGTCTGACAGATTTAAAATGCCACTATAAATGCGCCAAACATCCGGTAAGGGAAGCCTAGGAGAGAAAAATAAAACCTATTTGAAACTGGGAAGGCCTTCCTTCGATATTGTTCCTTTTTCCTATTACTCTCTTTCAAAGAGAACTGGGAAGGAAATACTACATAGGACATATTTTTTCCTACCTAATTCCTCCTACGGGTCATTTTTCATCACCAAGAGCGGCAGACGTGAATCTCTGAAGATTCTATTTAACAAACTGAAAAGTGTACATTTATGTAATTGTATCATGTGTACTTACTGCAAGTGAAAACACAAAGAATGTTGCTGCCCCATTTTTGAGAGACACTGTAGTGGGAAGAGACTAGCAGTTTATCATGGAAAAACTAAGCTCATTCACCAAAGCTGCACCTCATTGCTCCGTTAAATTCAGAACCATCAAGAAGTCAGACTGATCTTCTAACGCTCTTCTAATTAGGCAGAGTAGGAGGACTTCAGTGTTGTTTAAAATATCTCTATACGGCCGGGCACAGTGGCTCACACCTGTAATCCCAGCACTTCGGGAGGCCAAGGTGGGTGGATCACTTGAGGCCAGGAGTTTAAGGCCAGCCTGACCAACATGGTGAAACCCTGTCTCTACTAAAAATACAAAAATGTGTCAGGCATGGTGGTGTATGCCTGTAATCCCAGCTATTCAGAAGGATGAGGCAGGAGACTCTCTTGAACCTGGGAGGCAGAGGCTGCAGTGAGCCGAGATCCTGCCACTGCACTCCAGCCTGGGTGACAGAGTGAGATTCCATCTCAATAAATAAACAAATAAATAAATAAATAAATAAAATATTAAAGTGTGTGTGTGTGTATATGTGTGTGTGTGTGTATATATATATATATGAAAGTATGAAAATTTACATTGATTCTTTAAAAGATGAATACATACTAAGTACATCCAAAATTATGATCTAAAGCAAAGCCTTATTCTGTGCAAAGATCTAGAAATCTTTATCATCACCAAGTGGTGCAAGGCATGTGTGCACAATATTCTAGAAAAAATAAGGGAGATATCACATGCAAAGGAGCCTTTTTTTAAATGAAATCATCGTACTTTTATGTCTATTATCTCTTATAAACTTACAATACTGAGCCTTCAAGAATGAAAATTCCTGGTCTCAAATTGGAGTGCATTTAGTAAAAAAGACACCTACTGTTTCCCATCTTGGGCCTTTTCTTCCAGGCCAACCACCTTTAAACCACATGCAAGGTCATGTATGGCGGAGCCCCTTCACGGTGATAAGGTGGAGGGGTCTTGCTCCACCCACGTGTACCACCAACTGCTATATTTTGGTGGCAGTATGTTTAATCCCAGTACATAGCATCTAAGCATGAATTTCACTAAAACAAAAATACTTTGTGTTTATTTTTTAGAAAAATCAAGTGTCTTCTAGTATTTCTTTTGCTTTTTCATATGCTTTGTCCATTTCTACATTTCTTATTGAATATAGAAATCATAGTTTACATTTGTTGAGCAGGGTTCATGTTCTACATACAGTACTGAGCATTTTAAATGTGTCACTTAATCCTCCCAATAACCTTACAAATTAGGTACTATTATTATTTATATTTTAGATAAAATAAAGCTCAGAGAGATTTACAAATCTCCTAGGGCCACGCCTCTAATAAGCAGCAAAGCTATCACTCAAGCCATGTTTTGTCTAACTCCAAAACCTCAGTGTTTTAAGACTTACCTAACATGTCTACTATTTGACCAATAAAACTGAAATAGATCAAATTATATACGTTGAAATATACAGAGTACAAAACTCTCACTTTTAAAAATTATTATTAGTATATTTATGAATCAAAAAGCAAGAAGTAACATTTCTATGGGCCTGAGAAATAAGTCTTTGAAGAACACATCAGGGATTGCTGGTGGGATTGGTGGTGGGTGGTGGGATTGGTGGTGGGATTGGTGGAGGGATTGGTGGTGGGTGGTTAATTGGGATTGGTGGTGGGTGGTGGTGGGATTGGTGGTGGGATTGGTGGTGGGATTAGTGGTGGGTGGTGGTGGGATTGGTGGTGGAGTGGTGGGATTGGTGGTGGGATTGGTGGAGGAGGATTGGTGGTGGGATTGGTGGAGGGATTGGTGGTAGGACTGCTGGTGGGATTGGTGGTGGGTAGTGGGATTGGTGGTGGGATTGGTGGTGGGATTGGTGGTGGGTGGTGGTGGGATTGGTGGTAGGACTGCTGGTGGGATTGGTGGTGGGTGGTGGTGGGATTGGTGCTGGGATTGGTGGTGGGATTAGTGGTGGGTGGTGGTGGGATTGGTGGTGGGTGGTGGGATTGGTGGTGGGATTGGTGGAGGGATTGGTGGTGGGATTGGTGGGGGGATTGGTGGTAGGACTGCTGGTGGGATTGGTGGTGGGTAGTGGGATTGGTGGTGGGATTGGTGGTGGGTGGTGGTGGGATTGGTAGTGGGTGGTGGGATTGATGGAGGGATTGGTGGTGGGTAGTGGGATTGGTGGTGGGATTGGTGGTGGGTGGTGGTGGGATTGGTGGTGGGTGGTGGTGGGATTGGTAGTGGGTGGTGGGATTGGTGGTGGGATTAATGGAGGGATTGGTGGTGGGTGGTGGTGGGATTGATGGAGGGATTGGTGGTGGGATTGCTGGTGGGATTGGTGGTGGGTGGTGGTGGGATTGGTGGTGGGATTGGTGGTGGGTAGTGGGATTGGTGGTGGGATTGGTGGAGGGATTGGTGATGGGATTGCTGGTGGGGTAGTGGGATTGGTAGTGGGATTGGTGGTGGGTGGTCATGGGATTAGTGGTGGGTGGTAGGATTGGTGGTGGGATTGGTGGAGGGATTGGTGGTGGGATTGGTGGTGGGATTGGTGGTGGGATTGCTGGTGGGATTGGTGGTGGGTGGTGGTGGGATTGGTGGTGGGATTGGTGGTGGGTGGTGGGATTGGAGGTGGGGTTGGTGGAGAGGGATTCATGATGGGATTGGTGTGGTGGGATTGGTGGAGAGAGGGGACTGGTGTAGGTGGTGGTGGGATTGGTGGTGGGTGGTGGTGGGATTGGTGGTGGGATTGGTGGCGGGGTTGGTGGTGGGTGGTGGTGGGTGGTGAGTCGGATTGGTGGTGGGATTGGTGGTGGTGGTGGTGGGATTGGTGGTGGGATTGGTGGTGGGTGGTGGTGGGATTGGTGGTGGGATTGGTGGTAGGTGGTGGTGGGATTGGTGGTGGGATTGGTGGTGGGTGGTGGTGGGATTGGTGGTGGGTGGTGGTGGGATTGGTGGTGGGATTGGTGGTGGGATTGAGGGTGGGATTGGTGGTAGGTGGTGGTGGGATTGGTGGTGGGTGTTCAGGATTGGTGGTAGGGATTGGTGGTGGGTGGTGGTGGGATTGGTGGTGGGATTGGTGGTGGGTGATAGTGGGATTGGTGGTGGCTGGTGGTGGGATTGGTGGTGGGATGGGTGCTGGGATTGGTGGTGGGATTGGTGGTGGGATTGATGGTGGGATTGGTGGTAGGTGGTGGTGGGATTGGTGGTGGGATTGGTGGTGGGATTGGTGGTGGGATTGGTGGTAGGTTGTGGTGGGATTGGTGGTGGGTGGTGGTGGGATTGGTGGTGGGATTGGTGGTGGGATTGGTGGTGGGTGGTGGTGGGATTGGTGGAGGGGATTGGTGGTGGGTAGCGTTGGGACTGGTGAGTGGGATTGGTGGTGGGATTGGTGGTGGGATTGGTGGTGGGTGGTGGTGGAATTGGTGCTTGGGAGTTGGTGTCAGGATGGGTGGTGGGTTGTGGGGTGGGATGGGTGGTGGGATGGGTGGTGGGATTGGTGGTGGGATTGGTGGTGGGTGATAGTGGGATTGGTGGTGGCTGGTGGTGGGATTGGTGGTGGGGTTGGTGGTGGGATTGGTGGTGGGATGGGTGGTGGGTGGTGGTGGGATTGGTGGAGGGATTGGTAGTGGGTAGCGTTGGGACTGGTGGTGGTATTGGTGGTGGGATTGGTGATGGGTGGTGGTGGGACTGGTGGTGGTATTGGTGGTGGGACGGTGATGTTGGGTGGTGGTGGGTGGTGGTGGGATTGGTGGTGGGATTGGTGATGGGGTGGTGAGGTGGGTGGTGAGGTGGGATTGGTGGTGGGATTGGTGGTGGGATTGGTGGGGGGATTGGTGATGGGTGGTGGTGGGTGGTGATGGGATTGGTGGTGGGATTGGTGGAGGGATTGGTGGTGGGATGGGTGCTGGGATTGGTGGCGGGATTGGTGGTGGGTGGTGGTGGGTGGTGGTGGGATTGGTGGTGGGATTGGTGGAGGGATTGGTGGTGGGATGGGTGCTGGGATTGGTGGCGGGATTGGTGGTGGGTGGTGAGTGCAGGATTGGTGGAGGGATTGGTGGTGGGTAGCATTGGGACTGGTTGTGGGATTGGTGGTGTGATTGGTGGTGGAATTGGTGTCGGGATTGGTGTCAGGATGGGTGGTGGGATTGGTGGTGGGTGGTGGGTTGGAGGAGTGAGTATATTGTGTTGTTTCTCTTTCTGTGGGAGAATACCCACCCAGGGCCATCAGTCCTGTACAGAGACCACACTCTGTTATGATGGTCAGACTGGTCAGTGCTTGGACTCTGCTAGTTAAATGTTGTGAATACCATCCTCTGCTTTAACACATCTCTATTCATAAAGTCACATAGCTGATTAGAAGCAGCTAGTCACAGACCCTTCAAATGAAAATTGAGTAAGACTCTGGATGAGATGCATCCAACGCCCACCCATCAAAGCAGTGGGCAGCAGTGAGGACCCACTGGTGTCCTGGTGACCCTCCACACAGGTGCCTCTGAGCCATCAGCTTCACCTGCAGGCTCACCTGCCAGAGGCCACTCTCTGAGAAGGTTGTTCCTCCCACAATCGTGAGCTTGTTTTGTTGTGCAGACTGAAGCGAGTGTTGAGCGCTAATGGTTGGAATTAGAGAGGCGTCAAAGTCCCTTCTAACCAAGGAGAACAAGACATATAATTCCTTAAGACTAAGCACACTATCAACATGACAGACAGCCCTTACAGTTCCATGAAAAAGTGAGGTTACTCACCAGAGCTGTCCCCAGTGTTACACAATCTCAAAGAAGTAACCAGAGCTCCTTGTATGTCCCATATGTAATCCTGGTTAGAACCATCCGAAGATAATCTTAAGAAACACTTACACCTAAATGAAATGAACAGTAGAAAGAGTAAGCCTTCACTGGAGGAAAAAGAATATGAAATGATCACGGGAAAATCAATGTCCCTTACTTATATCCTTACAGTCTTCTGGAGTAAAGAATAAGTGAAAAGACTGACAGCGAATCATCTCTTTGTGCAAATCTCTTGACATTCACTCCTTTACTTGAAAGTCATTCAATTCTTCTCCTCCAAAGTCAACTCGGGTAAATTTTTAGAATGGCAGGGTTCTGTGTCAATTATAAACACGAAAAGATGCAAATGAGAAAAGCAATGAAGCGACATTTACTGGTTTCTGTTACCTTGTGAATTGTTTCAACACTGTTGCTGTTAAGTCATGAAATATGTTACGTTTTATGTAATATTATTGTTGAATCACATTACCAGGTAAAGTTCTTTGCAGGTTAAAGGCTGTATCAGATGTGGTGTTTCTTGAGGAGTAGAGGAACTTGGTATGCACTGTGAATATTTTAAAGAAAACAAACATTCTCTTTTTTTTTTAAAAAAAAAGCAAGAGAAAGAAAGAATTTGCATTAAAGGCATTGACAAATACAAAAGCAGCTCACACCCAAAAGCACATAGCAAATTTTATTCTTTTGGGAAACTCTCTTCCAAAGAAATCAGCTACAAGACTCAATAATTGCGGAGATTAAATGTAAATCCAAACCACATCTCCCTCTGGAGAAAACTAGTAATTACAGACAACCTGAAGAGAGGACAGTGACGAAGTTCCACCTTCTAACTGGAAAAACAAACAAACAAACAAATCAAAGAAGAAATTCTGGGAGTTTATGCTGCGATGATATTCATAACTAGTACCCTTCTCTTCCAGCTCCATGCTGTGTGTAGGAGAGAAGTGGGTTATCTGAGATAAAGAGAGTGGGACAGAGCCTTGATCAGAATAAACAGAGTTCTAGTTTCTGAAACAAAGAAGAGGCAACAAGCTTAAGGGATATTCTGCGGTGAGCGCTTTTACTCAAGCTAATACAAAACATGAAGATCGTGTTTTGAATCTTCATTCAAAGCGTCAGATCCTTCTTTGTTCTCATGGCTATTGTGCTTCCTGGATTCAATGGTAACGTGTGTTTTCGTTTTTGGTTTTTTGTTTTGAAGCGGAGTCTTGCTCTGTCGCCCAGGCTGGAGTGAGCAGCGCCATCTTCGCTCACTGCAGCTCCGCCCCCGGGATTCCCGCCATTCTCCTGCCTCAGCCTCCCGAGTAGCTGGGACTGCAGGCGCCGCCACCTCGCCCGGCTAGTTTTTGTATTTTAGTGAGGCAGTTTCACCGTGTTAGCCAGGATGGTCTCGATCTGCTGGTTTCACCGTGTTAGCCAGGATGGTCTCGATCTGCTGACCTCGTGATCCGCCCGCCTCGGCCTCCCAATGTGCTGGGATTACAGGCCTGAGCCACCGCGCCCGGCTGGTAACATGTGTTTTAAAGAGAAGATAGGCGGAGAAGTCTGCTAATCTCTTAACTAATCTGCACCTGGCAGGAAAGTACCGACTTAAACTGCAGGTCCACGTGTTTTGAGGGAAATGAACGAAACTGTTAAAAACTCAGACTCTAAAATAAAAGTGATGAAAGTACAGCAGCAGGTGCCAGCCGTGCATACTGGCCTTTGTGACTCGATCTTCCACGCGTTCGTATAGAACGTAAAGAAGAGGCAGCTGGGATGATAGGTGCAGATGGTTCGACACACAAAAGCATCTGGAGCGAGAACTCTGGCAACATCCACATCCGAGAAGGCAAGATGCTGGAAGATGTTCATATGACAGCCTGTGAACTCAGAGAGAGATGTTCCTTAGGAAACCACACGATGCTAAATTCGCTTGTATTTTGTCATCGTAATTAAGGAATTATGACTATTTATATTATTCATGGTACTAAACATCCTAAGTGAAAAAACGTCCTTTAAAATACCTCCAAACTGTTTGTCATTTAGAGGAAGGCAAAACTGGTCCAACTCTAATGGGCAAACTCCTGTCAGAGAAATAAAAGCTGTGCTTCCAGCTCCAGCCACCACCGTTGCCAAATGTTTGCATTACTCAGCATGTGTTTATGTTTTCCTTCTATTACTCTGACTCTGAGGCCTTTGGAATGTAAGGGTGTTTTGTTGTTGTATTTTCTTGACTATTATAAAAAATTCTTTAATAAAAAGTGATTAACAAAAATGCCTTGTGCCCATTAAAATTAGAACAGGAGACAATCCATTTTTATTAACATTACATTAATACGATCTTATATCTTAGTTTTATTTTAGTTGTGTTCCTATTGTTTATGCAGTTTACTAAATTTGGTAACACATAATTCTATTGATATTCATTGGTCCACAGATTCAGTGCGCTCTCTATCAAAATCCTGCTGTCTTTTTGTTGCAGAAATTGACAACCAACCTACAATTCATATGGAAATGCAAAAGATCCGGAATAACCAAATTAATCTTGAAAAAGAACAAAATAAAAGCACTCAGACTGTCTGAGTTCAAAACTTACTACAAAGTTATAGTAATCAAGACTGTGTGTAACTGGCATTAGGACAGACATACAGGTCAATGGGATAGAACTGATGGTCTAAAAATAAACTTACATTTATAGAAAATTGATTTTGAAAAGTGTTTCAAGACAATGGAATAACTGAATATCCACATGCAAGAATTAAGTTGGATTCCTACTTTACACCATACACAAAATTTAATTTAAAATGCATCAAATGCCTAAATGTAAGAGCTAAAACTATAAACCTCTAAGAACAAATCATAAGCAAAAATTTTCATAACCATGAATTAGGTTTTGGCATTTTAGGTAAAGCACATGCAAGAATAAAGCCAGACTGGATTTCATCAAGTTTAAAAACTTTTGCGCTTCAGAGAACACCATCAGTAAAGTGAAAAGATGACCTGCAGATGCACAGAAATTTTTGCCAATAATACATGTTACAAGAGTGCAGTATCCAGAGTATATAAAGAGTTCATACAACTCAACAATGAAAACAAAATAACCCAATTATTTTTAATGGCTAAAGGATTTAAACAGAGATTTCCCCAAAGAATTTATTCAAATTGATAATAAGCACATGAAAAGATACACAACATTATTAGTCATTGGGGAAACACATATCAAAACCACAGTGAGATACCACTTCACACTGCCTAGAAAGGCAATAATAAAAAAGACAAAAACAAGTGTTGTTAAGGTTGTAGAGAGATTGAAGCACTCAGTTGTTGCTGGTAAGAATGTAAAATTGTGTAGCTGCTCTCAAAAACAGTTTGACACTTCATCAAAAAGTTAAACATGGAGTTACTGTATGATCCAACAATTTTAATCCTAAGTATATACATAATAGAATTTAAAATGCATGCCTACACAAAAACTGCTGTCCGTTGCAGCATTATTCATAAGAGGCAAAAAAAAAAAAAAAAAAAAAAAAAAAAAAAAAAAAAATCCAGAAACAACTCAAATGTTCATCGAACTAAGTATATAAACAAAATATGGTTTATTCATACAATAGAATATTATTTAGTCCTAAATAGGAACAAAGTACCAATATATGCTAGAATATGAATGAGCCTTGAAAACACTCCAGATGAAAAAAGCTAGATGCAAAATGTGCCACATTGCATGATTCCATTTATGTAAAATGTCCCAAAGAGTCAAGTCCACAGACATAGAAAGTAGATTAGTGGTTGCCAGGGGATTGGAGGAGTAGGCAATGGAGAAAGACTGCCAATGGATACAGTCTTTCTTCAGTGATAATAAAAATGTTTTGGAACTAGATAGTGGTGATTCTTGTGAAATCAGGTGGATGTACTAAAAACCACCGAGTTGTACACTTTCAAAGGGTTAATTTTATGTTATCTAAATTATATATCAAAAATTTTAAATCTACTATGAAAAAATAATATATGCTATGTTAAAATACCAAACTTGATAGAGGGAATTCATGTAAAACAGACATATTATTTATATATATAAGAATTAAATTTTCTTGATATTTTCAGCAGCTTCATAGTGGATTCTCAAACATTCTTCAAGTCTTCTTATAAAGTGCTATTAAACCCCATCTTTTCCAATGTGTATGTATGATTCTAAGAACTTCACGTTTATCCATGTTAAATGTCAGGTCTCTGCGCCCAAGCCTGAACGCATACATCCAGATGGCCTGAAGTAACCGAAGAATGACAAAAGAAGTGAAAATGGCCGGTTCCTGCCTTAACTGATGACATCACCTTGTGAAATTCCTTCTCCTGGCTCAGAAGCTTACCCACTGAGCACCTTGTGACCCCCGACCCTGCCCGTCAGAGAACAACCGCTTTGACTGTAATTTTCTATTACCCACCCAAATCCTATAAAACGGCCCACCCCCATCTCCCTTCACTGACTCTCTTTTCTGACTCAGCCCACTTGCACCCAGGTGATTAAAAAGCTTTATTGCTCACACAAAGCCTGTTTAGTGGTCTCTTCACACGGGCGCACATGATATTTGGTGCCGTGACACGGATGGGGGGACCTCCCTTGGGAGATCAATCCCCTGTCCTCCTGCTCTTTGCTCTGTGAGAAAGATCCACCTACGACCTCTGGTCCTCAGACCAACCAGCCCAAGGAACATCTCACCGATTTTAAATCGGGTAAACGGCCTCTTTTTACTCTCTTATCCAATCTCTCTCACTATCCCTCAACCTCTTTCTCCTCTTAGTCTTGGCGCCATCCTTCAATCTCTCCCTTCTCTGAATTTCAATTCATTTCGTTTTCTGGTAGAGACAGAGGAGATGCGTTTTATCTGTGAACCCAAAACTCTGGCACCGGTCATGGACTCGAGAAGACAGTCTTCCTTTGGCGTTTAATCACTACAGGGACACCTGCTTGATTATGCACCCATGTTTCAGAGGTGTCTGATCACCACAGGGATGCCTGCCTTGATCCTTCACCCTTAGTAGCAAGCACCACTTTCTGGGGGGGGCAAGCACCCTGACCCCTTCTCTCCATGTCTCTACCCTCTCTTTTCTCTGGGCTTGCCTCCTTCATTATAGGCAACTTTCCACCCTCCACTCCTCCTTCTTCTCCCTTAGCCTATGTTCTCAAGAACTTAAAACCTCTTCAACTCACACCTGACCTAAAACCGAAACGCCTTATTTTCTTCTGCAATGCCGCTTAACCCCAATACAAACTTGACAATGGTTCCAAATAGCCAGAAAACGGCACTTTCGATTTTTCCATCCTACAAGATCTAGATAATTCTTGTTGTAAAATGGGCAAATGGTCTGAGCTGCCTGACGTCCAGGCATTCTTTTACACATCAGTCCCTCCCTAGTCTTTGTTCCCAATGCAACTCATCCCAAATCTTCTTCTTTCCCTCCCGCCTGTCCCCTCAATCCCAATCCCAAGCGTTGCTGAGTCTTTCCAATCTTCCTTTTCTATGGACCCATCTGACCTCTCCCCTCCTCCCCAGGCTGCTCCTCGCCAGACTGAGCCAGGTCCCAATTCTCCCTCAGTCCCTGCTCCTCCAACCTATAACCCTTCTATCACCTCCCCTCCTCACACCCGGTCCAGCTTCACACCTGGCCTTCTCACCTGCCCAACAATTTCCTCCTAAAGAGGTGGCTGGAGCTAAAGGCATAGTCAAGATTAATGCTCTTTCTTCTTTATGTGACCTCTCCCAAATCAGTTAGCATTTAGGCTCTTTTTCATCAAATATAAAAAACCTAGCCCAGTTCATGGCTCATTTGGCAGCAACCCTGAGATGCTTTACAGCCCTAGACCCAGAAGGGCCAGAAGGCCGTCTTATTCTCAATACGCATTTTATCACCCAGTCAGCTCCTGACATTTAAAAAAAAACCTCCAAAAATTAGATTCCAGCCCTCAAACCCCACAGCAGGACTTAATTAACCTTGCCTTCAAGGTGTACAATAATAGAGTAGAGGCAGACAAGTAGCAACATATTTCTGAGTTGCAATTCCTCGCCTCTGCTGTGAGACAAAACCCAGCCACATCTCCAGCACACAAAAACTTCAAAATGCCTAAGCTGCAGTGGTCAAGCATTCCTACAGGACCGCCTCCATCAGGATCTTGTTTCAAGTGCCAGAAATCTGGCCACTGGGCCAAGTAATGCCCACAGCCCAGGATTCCTCCTAAGCCATGTCCCATCTGTGTGGGACCCCAGTGGAAATCGGATTCTCCAACTCGCCCAGCAGCCACTCCCAGAGCCCCTGGAACTCTGACCCAAGGCTCTCTGACTGACGCCTTCCCAGATCTTCTTGGCTTAGCAGCTGAAAACTGATGCTGCCTGATCGCCTCGGAAGCCTCCTGGACCATCACAGACGCCTTGGGCAACTCTTACAGTGGAAGGTAAGTCTGTCCCCTTCTTAATTAATACAGCTGCTACCTACTCCACATTACCTTCTTTGCAAGGGCCTGTTTCCCTTGCTCCCATAACTGTTGTGGGTATTGACGGCCAGGTTTCTAAACCTCTTAAAACTCCCCAACTGTGGTGCCAACTTGGACAACATTCTTTTATGCACTCCTTTTTACTTATCCCCACCTACCCAGCTCCTTTATTAGGTTGAGGCATTTTAACTAAATTATCTGCTTCCCTGATTTTCCTAGGCCACAGCCACACCTCATTGCCACCCTTGTCCCCAAAGCCTCCTTCGCATCCTCCCCTTTTATGTCCCCACCTTCATCCACAAGTGTAGGTTACCTCTGCTCCCTCCTTGGCAACTGATCATGTACCCCTTACCATCCCATTAAAACCTAATCACACTTACCCTGCCCAACGCCACTGTTCCATCGTACAGCACGCTTTGAAAGGATTAAAGCCTGTTATCACTCACCTGTTACAGCAGGGCCTTTTAAAGCCTATAAACTCTCTTTATAATTCCCCCATTTTACCTGTCCAAAAACAAGACAAGCCTTACAGGTTAGTTCAGGATCTGTGCCTTATCAGCCAAATTGTCTTGCCTATCCACCCAGTGGATATATACTCTCCTATCCTTAATACCTCCCTCCACAACCCCTCCGTAACCCATTATTCTGTTCTAGATCTCAAACATGCTTTCTTTACTATTCCTTTGCACCCTTCATCCCAGCCTCTTTTTGCTTTCACTTGGACTGACCCTGACACCCATCAGGCTCAGCAAATTACCTGGGCTGTACTGTCGCGAGGCTTCACAGACAGCCCCCATTACTTCAGTCAAGCCCAAATTTCTTCCTCATCCATTACCTATCTTGACATAATTCTTCATGAGAACACACGTGCTCTCCCTGCTGATCGTGTCTGGCTAATCTCCCAAGCCCCAACCCCTTCTACAAAACAACAAATTATTTTCTTCCTAGGCATTGTTAAATATTTCCACCTTTGGATACCTAGTTTTACCATCCTGACTAAATCATTATATAAACTCACAGAAGCAAACCTAGCTGACCCCATAGATCCTAAATCCTTTAGCCACTCCTCTTGCTGTTCCTTAAAAACAGCCCTAGAAGCTGCTCCCACACTAGCTCTCCCTAACTCATCCCAACCCTTTTCATTACACACAGCCAAAGTACAGGGCTGTGCAGTCAAAATTCTTACACAAGAGCCAGGACCATGCCCTGTAGCCTTTCTGTCCAAACAACTTGACCTTACTGTTTTAGGCTGGCCCCCATCCCCATGGTTGTATCTCTCTGATCCACCTGACATCCACTCCATTTCCCCATATTTCCATCTTTCCTATTCCTTATCCTGATCACACTTGGTTGATTGATGGCAGTAATCACCACTCACCAGCAAAGGCAGGCTATGCTATAATATCTTCCACATCTATCATTGAGGCTACCACTCTGCACCCCTCCACTACCTCTCAGCAAGCCAAACTCATTGCCTTAACTTACCTCTCAGCAAGCCAAACTCATTGACTTAACTCAGGCCCTCACTCTTGCAAAGGGACTATGCATCAATATTTACACTGACTCTAAATATGCCTTCCATATCCTGCACCACTATGCTGTTATATGGGCTGAAAGAGGTTTCCTCACTCTGCAAGGGTCCTCCATCATTAAAAAAAACTCTTCTCAAGGCCACTTTACTTCCAAAGGAAGCTAGAGTCATTCACTGCAAGGGCCATCAAAAGGCATCAGATCCCATTGCTCAAGGCAACACCCATGCTGATAAGGTAGCTATAAAAGCAGCTAGCATTCCAACTCCTGTCCCTCATGGCCAGTTTTTCCTCCCTCTAATCGGTCACTCACATCTACTCCCACATTGAAACTTCCACCTATCAGTCTCTTCCCACACAAGGCAAATAGTTCTTGGACCAAGGAAAATATCTCCTTCCAGCCTCACAGGCCCATTCTATTCTGTCATCATTTCGTAACCTTTTCCCTGTAAGTTACAAGCCACGAGCCTGCCTCTTAAAACCCCTCTTTTCCTTTCCATTGTGGAAATCTATCCTCAAGGAAATCACTTCTCAGTATTCCATCTGCTATTCTACTACTCCTCAGGGACGTTCAGGCCCCCTCCCTTCCCTACACATCAAGCTTGGGGATTTGTCCCTGCTCAGGACTGGTAAATTGACTTTACTCACATGCCCCAAGTCAGGAAACTAAAATACCTCTTGGTCTGGGTAGACACTTTCACTGGATGGGTAGAGGCCTTTCCCACAGGGTCTGAGAAGGCCACTATGGTCATTTCTTCCCTTCTGTCAGACATAATTCCTTGGTTTGGCCTTCCCACCTCTATACAATCTCATAATGGACCGGCCTTTATTAGTCAAATCACCCAAACAGTTTCTCAGGCTCTTATTAGTCAGTAAAACCTTCATACCCCTTACCGTCCTCAATCTTCAGGACAGGTAGAATGGACTAATGGTCTTTTAAAAACACACCTCACCAAGCTCAGGCTCCAACTTAAAAAGGAGGACTCTGTCAAGGATAGAGCCCAAAAACGCACCAACCAAGCAACTAATTATGTTGAACCCCCTTAGGCACTCTCTAATTAGATGTCCTGGGTCCTCCCAATTCTTAGTCCTTTAATACCCGTTTTTCTCCTTCTCTTGTTCAGACCTTGTGTTTTCCATTTAGTTTCTCAATTCATACAAAACCATATCCAGGCTATCACCAATCATTCTATATGGCAAATGCTCCTTCTAACAACCCTGCTCGAAGCAGCCCTGAGAAACATTGCCCGTTATCTCTCCATACCACCCCCAAAATGTTTACCACCCCAACACTTTACCCCTGTTTCATTTTATTTTTCTTAATAATATAAGAAGACAGGAATGTCAGGCCTCTGGGACTAAGCCTGAACACATACATCCAGATGGCCTGAAGTAACTGAAGAATGACAAAAGGAGTGAAAATAGTCAGTTCTTGCCTTAACTGATGACATTACCTTGTGAAATTCCTTCTCCTGGCTCAGAAGCTCTCCCACTGAGCACCTCTGCCCACCAGAGAACAATCCCTTTGACTGTAATTTTCCATAACCTACCCAAATCCTGTAAAATGGCCCCACCCCTATCTCCCTTCCCTGACTCTCTTTTTGGACTCAGCCTTCCTGCACCCAGGTGATTAAAAAGCTTTATTGCTCACACAAAGCCTGTTTGGTGGTCTCTTCACACAGATGCACATGACATTAAATATATGCAATACTTCAGTCCAATGTCCTAATCTATTAAAATTGCTTTTACTTTGCTTTTCCTATCTAATATGTCAGGCACTATTGATAGATATTTTGGCCAAGCAACCAGTTGATTTCTAGGACATTCTCTATTTCAAGTATGCCATCTGGTTAGTCTCAGAACAGAAACCATGATGTTGCTCCCACTAATTGCAATTTCATCAACCAGGTTCATTTATCAGACTTTCTTCCCCAGAGGTGATAAAAATTTAAAAAAAACAAAACTTTTTTTTCCAGTTTATGTTCTCCTACTTTTGGCTTGAAACATATGTTTATCACCTCAATTGATAAATTAATAAGTCATATGGTAGATTTTCCATATCAGAATTGCAAACGGTTTTGTTAAATTAACTGGGGAGATGTGATTATCGTGACATCTCTCAAGATCTATGCAGGAAGATGGACCGCAAGAGAAGGAAATCTGTAAATATGATGAATTCATATGAGTTGAGGGGCAGGAGACTTTAAAACACCATTAAATCCATTAAAAAATCAAAAGGGGGAGTGAGCAATGTGAAATCTGTGTGACCCAAGGGTCAAGTTCTGGTTCAGCTCATCAGCTATATGACCCCCGAGCACCTTCACTTCTGCCCTCCTTCTAGGAGCCTTAGGGGTTTTGTTTGTAAAATTAGAAAAATCCGTGGTGAAACTAAGGACAAATTTGTAGTGATGACTACAGATGAACCCTAACTTATGAATCTCATCTGGGCAGTGAGGCCAGGAGACAGCCCTACTCCAGGTTGAGGAGGCACGTAGCTACTGGGTGTTCCCTGAGGAACGGGGAACATGTACTCAGTGAAAAGCCATGCCCTTAGCAGCTCAAAACACTGCCTGAAACAGCCAGATTTTTACCAGTCTGTAAAGGCCATTTGATCAGATTAAATCACATGTGAACTCACTGCAATTTAAAAAGAAAGCAAGTACAGAGATGAGCCATCCAGGGTGCTCTCCCAGGTGTGGACAGCAGCTGTGACAGCCCAGAACCACGGCATGAGCGTGCCTGTTCCCTGGGTAAGTGCAGCAAATCCTTCCAGCAACAGTGCTGGGTACAGAATGGAGCATGCTTGCATCGAGTCCTGCCTCCTGGCAGCCTTCAAAAACTCTCCCGGAAAAAAATAATATGAACGTTAAAATCACATCACCAGCACGTGTGAACCCGGCACACACCGTGGAGAAGGTGTGCTGTCACAAAGAGGAGACGGGAAAACAGACACCTTGTAACCAACCTTCCCAATCTTCCACAGGGAAATCCTAGCCCAGCACCCAATACAGGGCCAGGCACAGAGCCAGCACCCAGTACTGCGGAGAACTGGCAGTAAGGGATTTGGTTTCAGTAACATCTTGTCATTAACATCCTGATATGCTAAATGAGGTGGAATGTCACGGCAATTTTCTGGATAATTCCATTGAAATTACCTTTATGTGTGACACGACAGAATGTTATTTCCCTCCCCCGGTAGAGTCATTTCCCTAGATAGGGACACAACCAAGGAACGACCTTACAGTTTTGCTACAATATCATTGTACCTATAACAACATCACTGTACTAGTTTCCTATAACTGCTGCTCTAGGGGCATAACCACAAACTTAGTGGTTAAAAACAACACAAATTTATTATCTTACCATTCTAGAGATTGGGTCTTACTGGGCTAAAATGAAGACATCAGCAGGGCTTGTTCCTCCAGGATGTTCCACAGGGAAACTGTTTCCTCGCCCTTTTCAACTTCTAGAGGCCGCCTGAATTCCTTGGCTCATGGACCTTCATCTTCAAAGCCAGCAGTGTAACACCTTCAAACCTCTCTCTGCCTCTGACCCTTCTGCCTCTCTCTTTTTCTTATTACTCTTGTGAGCACTCAACCCTGTGAGTACATTGGGCCCATCAAGAAAATCCAGAGTACACTCCCCATCTCAAAGTCCTTAACTGAATCCCATTGATAGAAACGCTTTTGCCAGCTGTGGGAACACACGCACAGGTACCGGGGCTCCGCACAGGGACATCTCTGGGGGCTCCTATTCTGCCTACTACAATCACAAGGTGAAGTGGTCCTACAATTACCAATTTCTGAAAGGGCACAGGGCTTCAGTGAGAATCCAGATTCCACGTTATTCAGCACCTTTATAGTGGTAGGTGTTCCTCCAGGACTGTGCTTTAACAGGCAAGTGTTCCTGAGTGGGAAGAAAAGAGGTTACTTTGCTTCCTGCACTTTGAGGTGGAGGTAGCAGTCCAGGTAACATTTAGTATTCAAACGGACAGTGGAAAAAACAATGATGCTGATAATGAGTGGTTTAGGGGTTTGCATTATTAATCAAATGGACATCCTTCTCCTCGCAAAGGGGTCAAGGGAAAGTTGGGGTGAGAATGAGGCAGGAGACACCATGACACTAAACCCTCATTCTATAAGTAAGGCCTATGCGTGGGGCAAATGGAACTTCAGGAAAAATGACACCAAAACTCACTTCAGGAAAGCAAAAAATGACACAGACTTCAGAAAATGACTTCAGAAACAATGACACCAAAATTTCGCTTCAGGAAAAATGACACCACAATTGAGAAGAGCATGGAGTGATTGACAGTAGAGACTGGGAAGGTGATAGAGAGGTGGGAAAGGGGCAGGTGATGAAAAATTGCTTGGTGGGTACAATGTACATGACTCCAGTGAGGGATATACCAAAAGCCCAGACTTTACCACTGTACAATACACCAAGGTAACAAAATTACACTTGTACCCCATACATCTATGCAAACAAAAATGAGATTTAAAAATAAGGAAAGAAATTCACAAATTAAAATCAAATGGTGATTAACTCTACGAATGAAATAAACAGAGCTGAATGTGGCTTAAAAGAGAATGTTCAGAAATGGCCCTTTGGAGGGGACGGTATCTGAGGAAAGACCTGAAAGAATCAGCCTTTGGAGAAGTGGTGGAAGAGGATGCCAGGCTTTGAAGATGGGGTACAATTACCTGCCAGAGGAAAAGAGTAGAGAAACAAATGAAATTAAATGAATTATTTAATTTAAAAATGAAGGGCCGGGAGCAGTGGCTCATGCCTGTAATCCCAGCGCTTTGGAAGGCCCAGGTGGGTGGATCACGAGATCAGGAGTTCCAGACCAGCCTGAGCAACATGGTAAAACCCCGTCTCTACTAAAAACACAAAAATAAGCTAGGTGTGGTGGTGGGCACCTGTAGTCCTAGCTACACGGGAGGCTGAGGAAGGAGGATTGCTTGAAGCCAGGAAGCACAGGTTGCAGTGAGCCGAGATTGCGCCACTGCACTCCAGCCTGGGCAACAGAGCGAGACTCCGTCTAAAAAAAAAAAAAAAAGAAGATAAAAATATAAAGTAGAATAAGTAAATAAGGAAAGTGGTTAGGAGTAAAAGCCCTGTTTGGTTTTTAGTTTGGGAACAAAAGAGGTTGTGAAGAATACAGTGAGATCCTGGGGGCACTAATATCAAGAACAAACACCATGAATTGTACTCACCGGTACTCTGCATTGTGAAATGTTCGTGTGGCGTATGAAAAAAATTGGCAGCGAATGTTGTTGGTGCACCGTTTTTGGCATTCTTCAACACTGCTAACCTTAGATACATTAAAATTGACTCCTCTCATATCAATCCCTTTATAAATGTCTCGGTGGCAAGCTGTACAAGAAAAATACATAGAGCAAACACAGTCCATTTTCTTTCTAGAGGTAGATTAGATACCCGCTACCATTTGGGCTGGTAGTTTAGAAGCATAACAGCCCAGTTTTGGCAATTGCTATATTAATTAAGGGATTTAAAATTTTTATTATGTCCATAAATTATCGAACTCTGCTTGAAGTAAATACAATCCAATATTTTCCTGAAAGTACTAGCTTGGAAATTGGGTTACTTCGCTTCTTAAACTGCAAGATGCATGCAGCAATACAGGTAAATTTCACGTTGAAATTAACAGTGAGCAGTGGAAAATAAACAAGGCAATAATAATGAGGACACTGATAATGTGTGCTGAGGTTTGCATTATTAAAGAAACTGATGTGCCTTTGACCTTTTGCATTGAATGAAGGAGCTTCTCTATCTCCCAGTGTTCTTTTTCTGCTTTCAACTTCTCCTGTCTGACTACAAATTGCATCTGGATCAATCGTTACAAAATGTGGAGACTTGTTGTTTATGCATGATGAAACCACTTCCATTCTTGCTTTAAAATAGTGTTAACTTCTATTTAAGCACCCTTTTCACTGAGATTTGTCTTACATGCAAAAGATATAGATAATTCTTTTCACAGACAATGAAGCAAAATTAGGCTCTTTTTTTTTAAATGTTCAAATTTCTTAGTTAGACTTTTGGTTAAGGAAGTAATGTAAACCAGAAGTATAAACCATAAACTTTTTTAAAGTTTTATTCCCCAAGATTATGTGGAATAAACCATAATCTATTACAGGTAACTTTCCACTCCTAAGAAGTATGGTTGAAGTCATAAAACTAAATTTAAGGGTGGGAAAGACAGAAAATATACAAACTGTCAGGAAAACTGCATGTTGAATTGGGTAGGGAGGTGGATTATTCACAGTGGTTCTTAAATACAGGAATTTGCAGACAGTAGAAATGAAATCTCTTTCCAATTTTTCTGCATGTGAGAAAAGAATAGGCTAAGAGTTGGGATGGGACTCTTACAAATAACAACTTTTTAAGTGTTCATATGAAAGCTCTAAATGCTTTTGACTAGAATTGTTCCTGAAAGTAGAGATTTTATGTACTTGGGAACAATTTTTCACTTTAAGATGATGAAGTTAGAAAAAAACATTAAAAGCAAGCTAAGTGAGTAACACTGAGTTTTAGAATACATTAACAATAACAGGAATATTGGGAAAGGCACAATATTACTTTTTCTTTAAATTTTGCTATAAGATACAACAATTGGAAACAGCACTTCCTTGAATACTTTATACCAAATTAGATGAACATACACATTGATCTTATAAAATAGGAAATGTACCCCACCTCAGGTAGACTACACCTATTACACTGGCTAAGTCAGGCCCATATTGATAACGAAGGCTTTGCCATCCTTCGATAACTGGTTAAAATGCAAACAGCAGGCTCCAAGTGTGTGTGTATTGAAGGGGTGATATCAATGAGGGAGGAAAGGATGACAAATTTAAAAACATCTGAAATTTGAACCTACAAAATTAATTGTGCATAATACAGATAAAATCGTAATGATGTATAGTCACACAAAGAATCACAGCACAGCTATTTTAAGATTCCAACAACCCATCAGTTGAATCTTTTCAGCACTTTTCACTTCCTGATCAGTCCCAGTCATGTTTGAGAAATAGTTCATTTGTCTTAAATTTATTAGGATAGCGTTGGAAATTATTTCCCAAGACATCAGTAGCTTCAGATGTAAAATCAAAGTTCTCTAGCATCCTAGTCTTCAAGTTTCCTTTAAGAAGTATTATTTTTAGCAAGATTTGCAGAACTCTGTTCTTCAGTTTGGGCCTAATGGTATATCAGAGTTTCTTGATGTCAGCACTGTTGACATTTTGGGCCAGAAGATTATTTGCTGTGGAGGACCTCTCTGTGCCTTGTAGAAGGTTGGGCAGCAGCATTCGAACATTCTGGCCTCTTCTTAGTAAATGAGAGAGGCATTCTTAGTAAATGAGAGAGGCATTCTGGCCTCTACTTAGTAAATGCTAATAGCGCCCTCCCTAGTCATAGCCTGTCTCCAGACATTGTCAAATGTCCCCTCACGGAAGAGACAAAAATCATTGCTGGTTGAGAATCACTGATATAAAAATTACCGTCACGTGAACCTGAGAGAGATGTTCCCTCGTGTTTTCTTAAAAATTCTTATCTGGAAACAAGGAGACACGATTATTTGGATTCATTTTCTGCAAATCTTACACTTGAGTGCTAACCTCATAAATAATAGAGGCTCATTAAGTATGTGTCGATTTATAAAGACAACAGAAGTGTCCAGATGAATATGGGTCCCTCTTTTGTGTCCAGAATACTGCCCCATCTTCTATCTTTATAAGTGATTCCTTCCAAAAGGCTGTAGCAGTACAAACTTTTAGCAAAAGCTGTTCTAAGGTAGATCCAATATTAACTCAAATGTAGCTAAGAAATTCGCAACTTACCACTTATTTGATGACCACATTGCTTTAAGGAATGTCCAGAAATTGCACCTGCTCGATGTACTTTTGGCAGGGTTCCTGTAACACTATCTTTCAAGAAGCAGCCAAACCTGTTTTAAAAGTAGCTTTATTTAGGAAGTAGAACAACAAACATACATTGAGGAAATGTCTAGCATTTTCTATACACTAACAAATAAAACCAGGAATAAGGGAAATAATATAGCTTCCCCAAAACTTGCTGGAAAGAACACTCTTAGAGGTAATTTTATAACGTCCCCATAATATTTAACTTCAGCATTGCGTTTTCTTTACACTCACATTTTTTAAGTACAGAAAGTCAACCATATTGAAGAGTTAATGATTTTTCCTGTGTTCTTAAACTTTCAGGCAACTATGTCCTTAATTGGTAATTATTTTTGCAAATACTTTCATTTACTTAAAAAAATTAACTTAGTGATAAGAGCTGGATCTGTATATTGTGTGTTCATCTTGCTTATTAACTCCTTGTAGTCTGCACTTAATGAAAGACTTCCCTCTGTCTCAAATGTCAGCCTTCATGTTAATTTCATTATTTATAAGAATTCTAGAACCTACCTCCACTTTTAATATGATGATCCTCACATACAATCTGGGTTTTCTCTACAAGTTTAACATGTAGGATCAGAGAATGACTATCCAATTTCTAGTTCATAAACTCACGTGGAGTAAAGATGAGAAAAGAGTTATGAATATGGAAATGGGAACAACAAAGAAAAGCTTATTCTTATTCAAAATGAAAAAACATTAAGATGAAACTGTAGCTTGTGATTAATAAGCATCACTCTGATGTAATAAAAATTGTAATTATAGCTGGGTGCGGTGGCTCACATCTGTAATCCCAGCACTTTAGGAGGCAGAGGCAGGTGGATCACGAGGTCAGGAGTTCAAGGCCAGCCTGGTCAATATGGTGAAACCCCGTCTCTACTAAAAATACAAAAATTAGCGCCAGATGTAGTGGTGCGTGCCTGTAATCCCAGCTACTTGGGAGGCTAAGGCAGGAGAATCGCTTGAACCTGGGAGGCGAAAGTTGCAGTGAGCCAAGATTGTGCCACTGCACTCCAGCCTGGGTTACAAAGCAAGACTCCATCTCAAAAAAAAAAAAAAAAAAAAAAAAAAAATCATAAGTAGTATTTTTCCAATACTTTTACAAATCTCCAGTTAATAATACATATTCACACAAGCACAAGCACACATGAACACACACATACCATACACAGCATCATGCCATAGGTGCCCAAACTGGCTCACTTTAGGCGTCATTCAGATCTGCCCTGTCCCAAAATCACAAGTTCTAGATCTTTCTCAATTATATTCTCCGCAAAATGCTTGTCTTACGTTATTTCCTTCGGACTGTGCCAGCCACTAATGTGATCACGGGTCACACAGTTAAGTCTGTTTCTTTATTCAGATGAAATGTTCGCCTGTTAGACGCTTTCTGGAGACAATCTCTTAGCCCAACGATGTTCAAGCCTTTTGAGGCTTTGAGTAGAAAATGACTAGCTTCTACTACTTTAAATAAACACAGTGATTGTTTAAAATGCAGATTTCTAGTCCCAAGAAACTTTGGTTCAGCAAATCTGGGTTGTTGCCGAGGAATCTGCATTTGTAAAAACCACTTGAAGGGATTTTGCTGAAGCTGGCCCTTGAACCCCGTCTGAGACAGAACTCTCAGTTATACTATACCTCTTTGCACAAAACCGATTCAGTTTAGAAAAACGGCTTCTCCAATAATGAAATATCAACTTTTACCTTTTCTCCATGTCATTGATGGAACTTGCTGGAAGAAAACTGAATAGCAAGCACCTTGGGTGGAACGTGCACATCATCTGGCAGTGCTGGGCGTTCGGGGTGTACAGGGAAGCCACATCCCCACCTCTGAAGAAGGTGTTTTCATATAGTTGAGTCAGACATCCTGTGATAGAACCATAAAAGTTAATTTGAGATAATTCAAATAATAATTTTAACAAAAAGATATCTGTTGTCTTAACTTCTCCCACTGACTGACTACTCAAAGACCTGTATAATATAATTCTAATTATGCTGAGAAAATAAAATATATTAAGGCAACCATTTGAACAATGTAGAGTGTTATTTAATTTTCTGGGCACTTCTGCATTAAAAATTTGGCTTATTTTCATTAAATTGCACAATAATTTGCACATAAATTACCCACAATAAAATAAAATCCTAACTTAGTTTTTCCCTGTTGCCTGACATGCTATGAAAATATCATGCCTTAAAAAGAATAATATTTGCTCTATTTTCAAAACACTTTGGTTACAAACATCTCCACCAGCTTCTCACAATTCTGCAAGGGAAGTTAGAAGCAGGCTTTGTTATCTGCATCTGGATTAGGTTTTTTGAAAGAAAGTTAAATAACTGAATCTCAGGGCATATGGACTTGCCCAAGATCCACACAGTTAACGAAAATCCTGTGACAGTCACCCAGCCCTGACTCCCAATCCTGTGTCCTTTTCTAGCATGCAGTGCTAAATATTGTTCCGCATCTCAGTATGATTCAAGCAAACTGACAATATTTTTTACTCATTTTTAAATTAGTTTAATTGAAAGTAAATTTTGAACTATTTGCTGTTTGGAATTATTCCCAGCTCTAAAATACACTGCACCCCACCTATTATTAGCGAATTAGGTGTCATTACTGCTTTAATTTGTAAATTTGGATTTACCTGGAAAGACTGTCTTCCAAGTCTGCTTAATGAGCTTTCCTGGTCAGCTAGCATATTCATTTCAGTCAGTCAACTGACCATTAACCATGGCTACTCCGATGACAACCTGTCCATTCGCTGGGGCATTAACCATGGCTATTCCGATGACAACCTGTCCATTCTCTGGGGCATTAACCATGGCTATTCTGATGACAACCTGTCCATTCGCTGGGGCAGTAGTTACTCTTCAATTTAAATAGTACTTATTTTTTTATTGCCTTTGAGGAAATGGGCAGCTTAGACCACGTGCATTTTATTAAGCACTGGAGAGTGCCATCTTCTCTGCACTATCCTACCCCCTGGGGATTCTGGCCCTGAGCCCCAGTCTGACCACCCAACACAGCAGGACTTCTTCTATCCCTCTCAGAGGTGCGGCCAGATGACCACCTCTTGGGTAAGGTTTATATTTGGGAAGAGCGCAGATCTCTTCAAATGGAAGCTTTGGGGAATACAAGTGTATTGCCTAGATTTCACGTATGCACAAAGCGTGGAGGCGTTGGTTTAGTGACAATACGAGTTACAAAGAGGCCTGTTTTTTCAGACAGTTGGTGGTTTTGATTGACTCATAATTATCAAGCAGTCACTCCTCTTCCAGCACCTAGGTTCACACGCAAGGATGCACACAATGGCTGGTGCTGGCCCAGAGCTTCCCATTCTGCCATTGGGCCTCTGTGACCTGCCATGTGACTCAGTCAGGGAAGGGAGTGACTAGAAAGACGTCAACTTTGTTGCAGAATGGAAAGAAACTTCTAGTAGGTGTTCTTGCTTATCCTCCTAAGTTGGTGATCATGATGATAATGATGATCATGACAACGATAGCCGTGTCTGTACTGTATTTTGGAGCATATGTAAAGTACTGTTACATAGTTTATCTCATAATGATGGTGGCTTTCAAAGCTTTCACATGGGCTCCCATGTCCATGGATTTTGGGCAGGTTATTCAGTCTCGTTTAACAATTACATAAACAATAAGGAGAAGAAAAGTACTCTAATTTTAAAGAATTAGTGGACAAATATTAAAAGATAATTTACAAAAGAAATAGAAGTGATTAGTAAGTACATGAAAATGGGAAGAATCACAAATATAGGCAAGTTAAAACAACTAGAAGCCAGTTTTTCCATGAGATTAGTAAAAATGAAAAATTAAATAACCAGTATTTGTACACTGGTTTTGATTGCAAATGATGGAAAACCTAGTACAAAGTGGCTTGAATACAAATGAAATCTATTGGTTCAGGAGCCAAAAGGCCCATGGTGACTCTGGCTTAAGGAGTAACCCCACATTGTGCTCAACGGATAGCATCAGTGGACAACAGTCTCCTTCCGCTTGCTCCAGTCGTGGTGTTACCTTTACTCTCAAGCTCCACATAGTAGCAAAATAGGACCAGCAGCTCAGGCCTCTGTATTCTCTTATGTTTCAAGTTAAATTGGAAAAGAAAAGTAAGAGTCCTATTTCTAGACGTCTAAACAAACGCTTCATTGCAAGATGTTGGCTCTGATTGGGTCACTGCAGTCAGCAGGATGTGTGCACTTCCTGGTTCAGCAAAAGAGTCAGGGTCATCAGAACCACATGGACAAAAACTGAGAGGCAGTAGCTCTGCAGAAATAAATTAGGATACTGTTTCTAGAAAGATAAATATGTCGGGATGCAAAGCAACAGAAGCCTGTTAGAGTTGGCCTAAGTGGGGTAAATGAGGACTCTTATTAGCTGGTAGAAGAAGTCAACTAGGGAGTAACTTTTCTGAAAGATAATTTCATGATGCCACACCATAAAACCTTCTAAAATATTCATACCTTTGAATCTAGTATTTTTATTTCAAAAAATGTATTCTACAGAAATAACTAAGTGCATAAGAATGTGCACACAAACATACCATAAAAAGAGAATAGCAAGCTCCAAAAAATGTCATTTATTTGCACCAAAAGGTAGCTATAAGTGGAAAATGCAAGTCAAAGAGTATGCATAGTTAATAACTCTTTTTTGTAAAATGTGCAAATAGGCATATGTAGAAAAATATCTGAAAGACTAAACAAAAGATGTTTAACAATGACTGCTTCTGAATTTGGGGACTACATGCAATACGTAGTTTCTAGTTTTTGCTTATTTACATCCTTAATTTTCCTAGCCATAATCATGATTTATTTTGCCAAAAGAAAAAAACAGAAAATGAGAAACCACCTGGAGGTGGCCGTGGTTCACAGTATCTCTGGCATAACAGGGGAGTTGTGATTTAGGGGGAATAAAAGCCTTTTTTCCTGGAAAAGTAGTCTCTTTATGAATGTAAACCTTCCCTGTAGACGTTTATTGTAGCCATACGAGAGGAAAGTTAAATACTCACTGTTACGTGGCCCTCTTAAGTCACCACAGACTCAGAATCATGCCTTGTGGGGACACAGAGAAAACTTCCTCTATAGCGATTAATGAAATGTCCAGAATTCTTTTTATTCTCCAAAAATTAATGATATTAATAGAGAAATGAGATCAAAATCTGGTGTTGAAAGTTACTCACCTAGAACTATCCAACTGCCTGGTTTGCTAAGTTAAATTTAAACCAGGTACTTTCATTTTTGAAATGGTTCCCTGGCTGTCCAGAGTAAAACTATGTATCAAGTACCTAACAGATACTTGGATCGGACCCAGACACTGTATAATGCCCAGCATTCTTTTGAAATTTCAGATAATGTTTAATTTTTTAATGTTGATAAAAATAGAGGAGTAATCTTTTTGTTTTGAGTTTTGTTTTGCAGAGTGTCATCTGTAAACAGAAGTTTTTATTAACACAAGTCCCAAGACATTCCCACTTGTGAGCTCCTTCCTCTGGCCTGCAATGTATGTATAGAGCAATATATCTCACAAGTCGTACTTGTTCTGGAACATTAAATAGACACGTGTCCTGAATCACCAGGGACTATCTCCATCCCTGAAGCTGTATGTTCAATAGCTTTCTGCTGGGGTGGTGCGACTTGCTTGGCTACTCCTGTCTTAGCCTGAATTTCATGCTTTATAGATAATTCACTTACCACAGGAAACCGTAGCAAACAAGGAAAGGAAATAAGTTGCTTGCTTGAATAAAATCATTCTAAAAAAGAAAACGATACATAACTCTGTTGGTTTTAGATCGCATTTAACATAAATCTTAATTTAAGGTGATACAGATTTTCTTGTAAATGTCTGAATTACAAGACAAAGCACACAGTTTCTGGTATAGAAAACAAGGGGCTTTTTTCTCTACATTTGTGTCTAGGGAGTTGGAAAGTTTATAATGCTTCCCAAGATACAAATTGAGACCTCCAGACTACTGTTGTGTTTATTGTTGATTGGCAAACTCTGTGGGTAGTAATGTTGGAAAGGGAATTGGTAGAGAGAGAGATTAAACAGTTATGAAACCTCTTGATTTGGGCAAAAAAAAAAATTAATAAATAATGGCAATAATGTCAGTCCAAAAATCCCTAAGTAAAGAAAACCTCTGAAAATATTAAAGCCCAATTAAAAATTTTAAATCAATCAAGTATTCTTTTTGATTTAAAATCATCTTACATTTAAATATTTCTACATAAAGGAATATCAGTTCCTTCTCTACTACCTATATACTCAGGAAATTAGAATATAAATGACTAATTTTCTCATAAAGTAAAAAACTATACTTTAAAAATTATAGTTTCTTTGGAAACAATCAGAATAATAGAAATTTGCTACCTGAAAACACAATTGCTTCTTGGAGGTGAGTCTCTTGTCACTTAAAAATGAACGGTCTTCAAGCTGTTCTAATGTGGCACCGCAGGCAATGTTTTCCTTGGCTTCGATATTGACTTTGGGTTTCTGCCAACAGTTTCAACTTTTTGTCCTGTCAACATATTCCGTGAACATCCTATCCGTGTTCAGCTGTTAAGTATATTAACTATTTCAGGGAGTGATGTCAGCAAGAACCGGAATAGGAGTTTGTCAGAACAGGAGTTTCTAGTGCTCATCCCTTGCAGAAACATCGATTTGAACAAGTATCCATGCACGAAAATAACTTCACTAGAGCTCAGGAATCAGGTGAGAGGTTATACCACCCAGTTGCAGCACAGAAGTAAGAAAAGACACATTGAAGTGCATAGGAAGGACAATTTCACATTACCAGTGTCACCCCACCTTCAAGCCTGGGCAGCACAGCACGGAGAGAGATACCCTCTTGCATGGAAGAGGGACAGTTAAGATAGCACCCAACTTCACCACAGACCCCAAGCACCAAGCCCACTCCAGTAAACCCCAGTACCAGGATTCAGGCCTGCCACAGGCCAGACTGGCCTCTGTGGCCTCAGCCCCATGCTCACCCCAGACCAGGTCAGCCCCTGGGACTCCAGACTCCAAGGTGGCCACAGAAGACCTAGACTTCAGACTTGCTCCAGCTCTAGCCTGGCCCCCAAGACTCTAGCCTCCATATTAGCCCCAGCAGCCCAAGGCTCCAAGTTGGTACCCATGGGCCTAGAATTCAGGCCATCCCCTTTAGATCCAGCACCAGGTCAAGTCTCCAGAGATCTTGGCCATGTGGACACAGATGCTGGGCTCATCCCAGTGGAACCTGGTCCCAGGACAGCCTGAATAAACTCAGGAACAGGTCTATCCCCATGAACTCAGGTGCCAGGTGATCCCCATGTTAGGCTGGCCCCTGCAGACTCAGGCTTAAGGCTCATTTCAGTGCCAAGTCAGCCCTCAAGGATCCATGCTTCAAGCCAGTCCTTGTGCACAGAATACAGACAACCACAATGAATGAACCCAGAATCCAGCCCTGCCTACCTTAGAACTCCAGCAGAAATCCCCTGCATAGACCCCAACAGACAAGCCACCCACAATCTCTGGTCAGTCTGACTAGTGAACAGCTTCCTCTACTGAAGCTAGTATGTAAAGACTGAAATAGGTACCTACTTCAATGCAAGGCCACACTGATCACAAATAATCAGGGAAACAAGAAACCACCAAAGGAAGAAAATAAAGCAGCAGGAGGCGACCCTAAAGAAATGGAGATCTATACTGCATGACAAAGAGTTAAAAATAATTATCTTAAGAAAGCTCAGTGAGCTACAAAACAATATAGATAGACAGTAAACAAAATCAGGAAAACAATACATGAGCAAAATTAGAAGTTCAACAAAAAGAGATAGGAACCATAAAAAAGAACCAAACAGAAATTCTGGAACTGAAGAACACAATGACTGAATTGAAAAAATTCACAAACAGCTTCAGCAGCAGACTTGATCAAGCAGGAGAACGAATCAGCACACTCAGATACAGGTCATTTGAAATTACCCAGTCAGAGTAACAAAAGGAATGATAAAGATTGCAGAAAGCTGACAAAAATTATAGGACACTGTTAAGAAAACTAATATGCATGACAAGAGTTCCAGAAGAAGCAGAGAAAGAGAAAGTTGCAGAAACTTATTTTTAAAAATAAGAACAGAAAACTCTCAAAATGTGGAGACATAAATGAAATAAACATCCATATTTATGAAGCCCAAAAGAAATCCAATAGATTAAATATAAAGAGATCCTCACCATGACAAAGAGAGAATTTTCAAAGAAGCAAGAGAAAAGCACTTCTTCACATACAAGGGAAGCTTCATAAGATTATCAGTGGATTTCTCAGCAGAAATCATGTAGGCTGAGAGAGTGGGATGATATATTTAAAGTACTGAAAGTACAAAACCTGGCAACCAAGAATATAATATCAGTCAAAGCTGTCCTTCAGAAAGGAAGGAGAGAAAAAGAATTTCCCAGATGTATTAGTTCAGTTTCACATTGCTGTAAAGATACTACCTGAGACTGGGCAATTTATAAACAAGAGGTTTAACTGACCCACGGTTACCCATGGCTGGGGAGGCCTCAGGAAACTTATAATCATGATGGAAGGCAGAGGGGAAGCAGACACCTTCTTCACAAGGTGATAGGAGAGACAGAGTGTGTATGTGCAGGGGAAACAGCCACTTTTAAATCCCTCACTATCATGAGATCACAGCACAGGGGAAACCACCCCAATGATCCTATTACCTCCCACCAGGCCCCTCCTTCAATGTGCAGGGATTACAATTCAAGATGAGATTTGGGTGGGACATGGAGCCAAACCATATCATTCTTCCCCTGGCCTTTCCCAAATCTCATATCCTTTTCAGATTTCAAAACCAATGATGTCTTTCCAACAGTCCCCCAAAGTCTTCACTCATTCCACAGTAACCCAAAAGTCCAAGTCCAAAGTCTCATCTGAGGCAATGAGCCTTTAAAATAAAAAACAAGTTAGTTACTTCCAAAATACAACAGGGGTACAGGAATTGGGTAAATGTTCCCATTCCAAATGGGAGAAATTGGCCAAAATAAAGGGGCCAGAGGCCCCATGCATGTGCAAAACCTAGCAGGGAAATCATTAAATTTTAAAGCTCCAAAATAACATCCTTTAAGCCCCTGTCTCACATCCAGGGCATGCTGATGCAAAGGGTGGGCTGTTAAGGCCTTGGGCAGCTCTGTCCCTGTGGCTCTGCAGGGTACAGCCCCTATGGCTGCCTTCATCGGCTGGCACTGAATGCCTGCAACTTTTCCAGGCACATGGTGAAAGTGGTCAGTAGATCTACCATTCTGGGGTCTGGAAGATGGAGGAACTCTTTTCACAGCCCGCTGGGCAGTGCCCCAGTGGGGACTCTGTGTGTGGGCTCCAACCCCACATTTCACCTCTGCATGGCCCTAATAGAGGTTCTCCATGAGGGCTGTGTCCCTGTAGCAGACTTCTGCCTGGACAGCCAGGTGTTTCCACGCAGCCTGTGAAATCTAGGCGGAAGCTCCCAGAGCTCAACTCTTGTTTTCTGTGCACTTGCAGGCCCAAGAGCACATGGAAGCCACCAAGGCTTGGGGCTTGTACTCTTGAAGCAACAGCCTGAGCTATGGAACCTTTTAGCCATAGCTGGAGATGGAGCTGGAGTGACTGAGGCACAGAGCACCAAGTCCCAAGGCTGCACACAGCAGTAGGGCCCATGAAACCATTTTTCCCTCCTAGGCCTCTGGGCTTGTAATGGGAGGGGCTGCCTTGAAGACCTCTGAAATGCCCTGGTGACATTTTCCCCATTGTTTGGCAGTCAACATTCAGCTCCTGGTTACTTACGTAAATTTCTGCAGCCGGCTTGAATTTCTCCCCAGAAAATTGGTTTTTCTTTTCTACCATATGGTCAGGCTACAAATTTTCCAAACTTTTATGCTTTGTTTCCCTTTTAAACATAATTTCCAATTTAATACTATCTCTTTGTGAATGCATATGACTATGCTTTCAGAAAAAGCCAAGTTATATCTTGAATGCTTTTCTGCTTAGAAATTTCTTCTGACAGATACCCTAAATCATCTCTCTCAAGTTCAAAGTTCCACAGATCTGTAGGGCAGGGGCAAAATGCTGCCAGTCTCTGCTAAAGCATAGCAAGAATGACCTTTGCTCCAGTTCCCAATAGTTCCTCATCTCCATCTGAGACCACCTCAGCCTGGACTTCATTGTCAATATGATTATCAGTATTTTGGTCAAAACCGTTCAACAAGTCTCTAGGAAGTTTCAAACTTTCTCACATCTTTCTATCTTCTTCTGAGCCCTCCAAACTGTTCCAACCTCTGCTTGTTATCCAGTTTCAAAGTTGCCTTCGCATTTTCAGGTTATCTTTATAGCAACACCTCACTCTGTCAATAACAATTCTCTGTATTATTTATCTTCACACTGCTAAAAGATAAAAGGTCTAATTGACTAACAGTTCCTCAAGGCTGGGGAGGCCTCAGGAAACTTACAATTATGGTGAAAGGTGAAGGGGAAGCAGGTACCTTCTTCACAAGGCAGCAGGAGAGAGAGAGAGCATGTGCACGGCGTAATGGCCACTTTTAAACCATCAGATCTCATGAGAACACTCTCACTATCATGAGAACATAATTGGGGAAAACACCTCATGATCCAATCATCTCCCAACAGGTTCCTCCTTTGACACCTGGGGACTGCAATTCGAGATGAGATTTGGGTGGGAGCTCAGCGCCAAATCATATCACTAGACAAATAAAAGCTGTGGGATTTCAACACCATTAAACTTGCCTTACAAAAAATGCAAAAGGGAATTGTCAAGTTTAAACAAAAGGACACTAACTAACATGAAAACATATGAAAGAATAAAACTCCACTAAAGGTATTCTTATACAATCAAATACAGAATTCTCCAATACTGTTATTGTGCCACAGTCACTTTTAACTCTAGTATAAAAGTTAAAAAATGAAAAGTGTTCAAAAATAACCGTAACTACAACAATTTACTAATGAATACACAACATACAAAAGATATAAACTATGGCACGAATAATAAAATGTGGGGTGAGAAGTTAAAATGCAGTATTTCTAAATGCAGTCTAAGTTGTTACCAGATTAAAATAGATGGTTATAAATATGAAATATTTTTGTAAACCTCATGATAACCAGAAAGA